GTTTCAATATTTAAAAATATGTGTCATGTACTTAGAATGAAATATTGAGCCACACTGTTCGCACACCCATGCCATCAAAAACCACTGCTGGCTCTTTTTCTGCTGTTGGAAGAACTCCAAGATTGCGTTATTAAATTCAACATGCCATTACTTCTGTTTTCACGGTAGGATGGTTTCTGGCAAACTCCATTCAAAGATTTGTATCTCTTAGACACAGTATTTAAAAAACTATGAGACGAGCATTTAGGGTCATACCGTTTTTGCGTTAATTGAGCAATTATCCAACAACTGTGTATCTTCATTATTGGGTAACAGGAAACAGCGCTGTGGAATGGGCACTCTCCGGGGGTTGAGTCTTCCTGCCTCGGCCACTTGCCAGGCGGGCCGTCCCCAGGTGAACTGACATCTTGGGTGAGCCTAGCAATTAGTTTCCTCATCTCCACACTGCAAGGTGGAGTTTAAAAGAGACCGTGTGTGTGAAACCTTTGCACGTAGCATATAGAAAACGACACGCCCACCCCAAAGGCTTACTTGCTTTCCTTCTTTTGCATAAACATTTGCACCTCGAGCCTGGAAAACATTGAAGAACCACGCGTTCTACTAAAACAGCAGATGCAAGCCGCCTTTACCAGTGAGTGTGGGTGGAAGAGTGATCGGGGATCCCATTCCTCCTTAGGAAAGCCAAACTTTGTGTCTGAGGCCGAAATACTTTTAATGCTGTCAAATTGGGAAAAAACCTTATATACACCTATACAAACATTCTCATGTTCTGGATTTTTCTTTACTAGTACTATATTATGAGAACTTCATTATATAATTCAAGGGTAAGTATTAGAAAATATATTTTAGTTAGGCCTGGATAAAATTCACAATGTCAAACTAGGTACTAGATAAACAGGGTGAAATGCGCAAAGGCAATGTGTAATTTCTGAGTATTCGGCATCGCTTGACAGTTAAAAGCAATGATAGTATATAAATACCAGGGGACTGTTCAACTAATAGTAAACAACAAAATTTATTAGTCCTTTTGCTAAAAAAACAAACCTTAAAAGTATTTAAAAAATCAGCCCTGGCAGGTGTGGCTCAGTGGACTTGAGCGCTGGCCTGTGAACTGAAAGGTGACTGGTTCGATTCCCAGTCAGGGCTCATGCCTGGGTTGTGGGCCAGGTCCCCAGTAGGGGGTGCGTGAGAGGCAACCACACATTGATGTTTCTCTCCCTTTCTCCTTCCCTTTCCCTCCTTCTAAAGTACATTAAAAAATCTTTTTAAAAAAGTATTTAAAAATCCTATCTCCTGATCTTAAACTTGAGCCAATCTTTGTGTCAACACATCAATTATCTGAGCTGTGGCTCCATGATCGAATCTTCTTGAGTTTGACAAGTCAAAACATTTTGACTGCTGAAGAGACCACCTCATTGTTGCTTCACGTGCCAAGTCAGTGACTTGAAAAGCAATAAACATTGGAGATTGCAGGAAAAGCCAAAGTCTAAATGCACCTTTTCTGGGTTGGTATTTTCTACATGCTTTCTTTCCTAAGGGTACGCTGTCAACTTGCTCACCTATGGAGAGAGAATACTTTACTGCCTTATATTTATAGGCTCTCATGTATTGATATTTTCCTTTCACTGAAAAACACGTAACATATAATGCTACTTTATAATTTTTAGTTACTCTCCAGAGAATCAAATATTAGCTTCAGTTTGAGGTGAGCCTTTATTACTCTAATTAATTCCTCATATTCTAATTAGTGTCGAAAGGTCACCTTTACTAAATTCCACTAAAGCATAAATTCTAGGCTAATATTATAAAGCAATTGGCATTAAGAGATTTAAGTAAAAGCAAGGGCTGCTAGAAAAGACAAAAACTGCACCATCCTTTGTTATTTAAAAATGTTTAAAAATGATAAATATATGCTCAGTTTAAAAATGCAAATATACAGAAGAGTATAAAGTGAAGAGCAGAAGTCCCTTTACCCTACCTAACCCCTGGCTCCACTGTCTACGGCGGCACAAATATGGAAGCCATTAGCTAGATGTGGCTATTTACAACTAAAATTAAAAAATTGAGTTCCTCACACTAGTTGTATTTCAATCACTCAATTACCACAGGGTCTTAGAGGCCTCCACATCAGAGAGTGCACAGAACATTTCTGTCATCACAGCAAGGGGACAGGTCATCGGTCACTGCTTTTTAACAGCCACCATTCAGCACTAGCGTGCACATGCACGCGCGCGTGTTATGTCTTAATACTATAAAAATTCTTTAAATACATGGATACAAGTCCCTTATCCAAATACGACTTTCAAAACTTTCCTCCCATTCTGTGGCCTGTCTTTTCAGATCCTCGAGAGCATTCTTTAAGGCACAGAATTTTGAAGGAGTCTAATTTTTTTCCTTTGTTGCCTGTGTTTTTGGTGCTGTATCCAAGAAACCATCGTTTAGCTCAAGATCACAAAGATTTACTTCTTTGTTCTCTTGTAAGAGCTTTATAGTTTCTGCTCTTATATTTAGGTGTATGATCCATTTTGAATTAACATTTGTATATGGTATAAGGTCAAGGTGCTTCAGCACATGGCTACGCAATTTTCCTAGGACTGTCTATGGAAAAGACAACTCTCCACCAAACGGTATTGGTACCCTTGTCAAAAAGCTGATTTGTAAACGTATGGGTTTATTTCTAAACTCTAAGTTGTATTTTACATTCCCTTGATCTGTATGTCTATCTTTATAGCAGTACCACACTGTCTTAATTACTGTAGCTTTGTAAAAAGTTTTGAAATTGATCGTGTGAGTCAACTTTGTTCTTTTTTGAAATTTTTTTGGCTATGGGTCCCTTGCATTTCTGTATGAAATTTATCATCTTAATTACTGCAAAAAATCCAGCTGGGATTTTGATGGGAACTGCACTGAATCTGTAGAGCAATTTGGGCAACATTGCCACCTTAACAATGTCATCTTCCAACCCATGAACAAAGATGTCTTTCCATTTATTTAGGTCTTTAATTTCTTCCAAATATGTTTTGCAGTTTTATTTATCTTGATGCTACTGTAAGTAGAATTTTTTAAAATGTGAATTTCAGAATGTTCATTGCTAGTATAGAAATAAAACTGGAGAGTCATCACATTGAGGACCAAGTTGTTCTTGAACATCCTGCTCACCAGTACACCAGGGGCTGGAAAAACCATGCTAGACAAAGAACTTGCCTCAAGATCAGGGCTGAAACACATTAACGTGGGTGATTTAGCTGGAGAAGTCTGATCACTGGGCACCATGGAGGCTGGCAGAATAGCTTCTCCGCAGGGAAAGCCAGCAGATGCACAGATGATGGCAGAAACCCTGAGGATGAGGAGCATTACAGAGTATGAGCCAAGAATTAGAAATCAGATGTTGGAGCTTGCCTTCCAAAATGTGACCATGATTCTCTATGATGCAAAAATGTATTCAAGCCATGCTGACCTCCTGCTGATGTGCGACTGGCAGTCCAGTGTCATGCTGACCAGTCCGTTGCCCCTCCTCCCTCAAGAGATTTTTAATTAGATACGGCAAGGCAAAGAAATCAGACCCTTTTGCGTTGATCAAGCCCCATTCAGGCCCGAGACTGCCACCTGACAGACACTGCTTGACTGCTCCAAAGTATAGACTCAAGTCTTCACAGAAAAAAGGCGTCTACTTCTGCAGGAAGAGTAACAGCTCTGCAGTTAAGGGTTGGTTCAGTTACTAGCAGACCAAGCGCTCCCACACTTGACACACCAACTGCTCAAGCGGTGACTCCAATGTCCCTCAAAGGGCAAAGGTTTACAGCACAAATGCCCACTTTGAAGTCCTCAGCTCTAAAAGCATTACTCCTGCAACATCAGCAGTTCAGAATGCCGATTAATCCATAGGTCGGGTCCAACCAAAACATTATTACCACTGACATGGTGTCGTCATAAAAATACTGCCAGTGAACCACCAAATGCATTGAAAAGAAAATGCGATGATGACTGTGATAACTTTTAATCTGGCCTTGGAGCATGTATGGTTGGTCGTGAATTCACTCTACTGAAATTAAATATGCATGCTGGATGTTTTCAAGTTGTGTTTTAGAAAACTTTATTAGTATTTAATGAGCAAATATAGTTACCCTAGTTTTTAATTGAGATGTTGTGTTTTCTTTAATAGAATTCATCAGGGTTTTTCACCAGCTTTTAACTGTAGAAAATATAGTTGTCACCCACCAAAAACAAACAGATTTATTTATATTGATCTTGTTATCTACCCTGTAAACTGTTGAACTCATTTGTTTTTAAATGAATTCCTTAGGACTTTCTATATAATGAGGTAATGAGACATGTCATCCTAAATACAGTTTTCTTTCTTTTCCAGTATGGTTGCCTTTTATCTTTTCTCTTGCCAAACTGCTATGGTTAGAACCTGAAGTACAATTTTGAATACAAGGAAAGAGAACATCGTTGTTTTCTTTCTGATCTTAGGAGGAAAGCATTCAGCATTCAATATCATATTTCTTTCAGCCATGAAATATGATGATACCCATGGGTTTTTCTTTTCTTTTTCCTGATTTCACCCATTTCTATTAGGTGGGAAGAACAATCAACATCAAAACAAACAAAACAGAAAAGAAAAAAATAGCCCTTTGCGGTAAAGGACATGCCAGGAAGGCAAGAGCCAGAGCTGCCTCCCCAGAGCATGCTGGGAGGGGGGGGCACCAGAGCCACTCTCTAGGGGCTGCTGGGAGATGGACACCAGCACATCTCCAAGGACTGCACCTACCCCAAACTCCCACCCCTATTCCCTCACCCACCCCCAACCTGGAGACCAGAGGAAAGTTTTTCCAAAGATGACCGGGGAATAAGGGACGCTGTGGTTCTCTGCGGGGGGTTGAGGAGGGGAACAGTCAAGATGAGGAAATGGAGAAACAGAGAGGCAGGAGGCAAACAGAGGACTGACAGACTCGAGGGGCCAGTGTGCTGGCGGAGGACAAGGGGAGAGTGGAGCAGAGGGCTGTGTGGTCGCTACCCCGAGGCGTGGATGTATAGCTGGCTCCTGAGAATGTAGTCAATGACCGGCTGCGACAGGTAATCCATGATGTGGCCGTCCCATGCTGCAGGGCCAGCCTGCTCTTGGTTGAGCTGCCAACAGACACGGGGTGGAGATGTCTTCCTTCAGCACCAGGATGTTTTTGTATTTGCGGAGCACTGAGGAGTGATTCATGATTCAGTCTGTGTCAGTTGTGCCCCAGGGCACCACCACGATCCCAGAGTCCCCAACAATCACCTCCTTATTTGCCGCACTCCAGAGCCCCAGGAGGCAGGACTCCAGCAGGTCCCTGCCACACAGCAGCAAGATCTGCAGCTTGATCTCATACCGATCGCCGAGCACGGGCTGGCATTCTCACCCACAGAGGCAAAGTGCTCCACCGGCCGGCGGACACAGCGGATCCGGCTTCGACTTCCTTCCACCTTCCCCAAGATCTTGGCTGCAGTGGGCGTGGCGGGCATGTTGTTGTTTTGGTACATGGGCAGGGGGTTCTCATTTTGGGGCTGTCCGATCACAGGCGTCATGAAGGGTGTGTTGACCCGGGAGAGGATGCAGCCAGTCACCCGCCTCATGAGGTCCTGGTGGTGCCCCAGCACACTGCGGGTCGTCCGCCAGATGGCCGGGTAGCACTCCATGGGTCCACCCTGACCCCAATCGGAATTCTCGACGGCCAGCTGACACATGATGAGATGATGAAGGCTCAACACATGCCGTTTTCCACAGGAGCTGTGGACAGGAGAGGCGATCCTGCCAATTACAATAAACCTGCCACTTTTTTGCAAATAACCTCTGGCTCTTTCAAACATCTGAATGTGCCCGTTAGTGATGGGACTGAACCTGCTGCAGGCAAGCAAGGCAACGTGGGTCTTGGTGGTCTTGGTCATGGTGCGGGTGGGTGCCTCGTGCTGGTCCCGGGGTCTCTTCTCTTTTTGTGTCTGGGTGTCTGCAGATGTATCTGCGGGTCCTTCATAGATGTCTTTTATTATGTTTAGGAACTTCCCTTTAATTCCCAGTACATTGAGCACTTTTATCATGAAAAAGTGCTAAATTTTATCAACTGTTTTTTTTCTGCACCTGTCAAGACGATCATGTGGTCACTTTGTCCTTTATGAACACGGTGCAGTTAATCCTCATTATTCATGATTCTCATTTTGTGAATTTGCCAATTTGAGATCCCAAAGTCAATACTTGCAGCACTGTGATGATCATCCACAGACCAGTGAGGATTTTCAGTTCCCTCATGGGCATGCTCTCAGCTCAGGTCGAATGAGCCAGCACCTTCTTGTTTCCGCTCTCCTACAGCAATGACCAGAGGACAGAGAAGGCAGGGGTCAGGCAGTGTAGTGCAAGCAGCTCTGGCCCTGTGGCCAGTTGGGCAGGTATGGATTCCAGCTCGGGCGCACTTCCCCCAGGGGCTATGGATCCATATTCTCTAATTCAGTATTACCGGTGACTTTATAAAATATGACATCTGTGAATAAGAATCATTTGCATATTACACTGATTTTTGGATGTTAAACTGATTGTGCATCCCTGCGATAAATCTCACTTGGTCATGGTGTATAATGCTTTTTTACATGTTGCTAGGTTCAACTTGCTGGTATTTTCTTGATGATTTTTAAATCTATACTCATAATAGACATTGGCTGTAGTTTTCTTGTGATGTCTTTGTCTGGTTCTGTGTCAGGGCAACACGGCCACAGCAGAGGTGTTGGGAAGTGTTCTCTCGTCTTCTGTTTGTGGGGACTGTTTGCAAAGGATTGGTGTTGACCTTTAAATGTTTGGTAGAATACAGCAGTGAAGCCACCTGGGCCTGAGGTTTTCTTTGTGGAATGTTTTCAAGTTATGAATTCAGTTTTTTGTTTTTGACAGCTGCCTTTTAAACTTGCTTTTGGGTAGAATAAGTTTAAGAACAAAGGCGATAAGATTATCTCCTAAGGCGAGTAACATTCAATAAGGAAGTACACGCTATCAAGGAAGGCATGTCCGATGTTTGTAAGAGTCAGACAGGCAGACACCAAGGTTGTGCCAGTAGCACTATCATCCTCTCAGCCTGCTGTCCAGCTTTAACAGACAAACATTTTTACTGCTCATATGCTTCCATGACCTTAGACTGAAACATTTCAGCTTGTTCTCCATAAAGTTTATATACAAACCTCTTAACTGACACAGGCATCAAAGTCCTATAATCAAAAACAAAAGTTTGTACATTTCTAGTTTATGTACAGATATGTACATTTACATAGCTATTTTTGAGTCTAGCTACAAACACAATGCCTGTCTCAGAACCCGTTAGGAAGGCAGTGTAGTGGAATATCCTGGGAACAGACACCTGGAGGTTTCAGCACCGACTCCAACTTCAAAGATACCTCAGTTTGTTCCTCTGCCTGACAAAATCTGGTGAAGCCTGGTGATCGTGAAGATTCTTTTCCTGGTTCTAAAAATACAATGATTTATTCTACAGTAATGCCATTCCCACTGTTCTCACTTAAGAGTGGTCAAAATGAAAATATTTTTCTTATATACAAATGAACATATATACAGCCATACCTCACTCTTACAGAACCAATCAGCCTATTCCCAAAACCTTAACAGAGGAAGGAGGCTGAGGAAGTTTGTGATTAAATAATATAATTCCAGCATCTCAATGTCCTGAGCTCACCATGAAATGGCTGTTAGTAGTTTTTTTTCTCTACATACGCATATGTGCTTTTTCATAGTACTTCACTTTACATAAGTACTGTTGCATATGAGGCATCTTGTAATTATAACTTTCAAAAGCAAGGAGGTCACTTTTCAGAAATCTTGAGCCCATCAGAGAAGGTGAATGGTATTTCATCAGTTGTCTCGACTGGCACGTTACTTCTACCAAACTGACACGAGTAATGGTGTGTGTGATGACTTGAAATAAATGCATCCGCAGTCCGGCTGCAATGACAACTCTCCGATGGCAGGACGCTGTTGGAATTACCAACATGTGAATGGTACACACCAAGGAAGGAGTCTTGAGAAGAATGATACTGTCCGGCCGAGGTGGACGTAGAGCTCTGGTAAGGGCCATTGCACATAATACAAGTTTGAAAGCAAGTCTTCCTTCCCAAACCTCGATGGATGTCTAGTTTAGCAATGAGAGGTTTCCCAACATTCACTTCCTGCTTTTCCTCTATGGTATCTTCCAATCCTGAGTACTGATATGATAAACACACTGTGAAGATTAGTTGCTCCTGAAAAGTAAAAGGAGTAAGGTTTGTTATTTTTATCAACTGTGAAAGTATCTCAATCTTACACTATCATTCACACAAGTACAGAAAAAAACAATGATGAGAATCCACTCCCACTCTCCTCTCCCGGGTTTCAAATCCTCAAGGCATCCTTTCCACCTTCCCTACCCTGAGAAAGGCTGGCTATCATCAGCGTCCTCTTCCCTCAATCAATAATTTGAATCAATATAATTCTAGTTCTTACTATTGAAAGTAGGCAAAATCACAGAGATCTGGCATTATATTCTTGACGAGTGAAAAGGCAGTTTGCAAGCAGGGGGCTTCAGAAACTTTCTGTGCCTTGTGATGAGAGATAGGGAATGGTCCTTTAACAGAACAATAATCTGGCTTTATACTCAAGATAAAAGATTAGCTACTATCTTTCCCACACTCATAGGTGTGTAACTGAAGCAGATAATGGGCTGATTTTCAAAGATAAATGGAGAAGGTAGATTAGTTATGAACAGGGTGACAAGAAGGACACTTGTCCTTCTGCAAGTGTCAGCAGTGCCCACTCCACTCCCGAGTTTCAGCTAATACATCCTATAGTCATGCAGCTGTAAATAAACTACAAACTCAGGCTGGCATGGATACGCTTTTATGAGAAAGCTCAAGCATGCAGAGGTAGTTGCTGATTTGTAAGTTAACAAGAAATGAAAAAAAGATCAAAAGAAACCCCAATTCTAATTTGCTATTTATTTGGCAGAAAGTTGTAGAACTAGGAAATGAGTATTTGAAAACACTGAGACATTTAAGAGCAGACTATGCGCTGCGTCTCTAACTTTCCAACAGCGTGGAGGGTGCTCACATACACTGTCACGCAAACACCTTCAGGCCATCGTCAAAACCGACTCTAATATGAAATGGGTCACTGCTAAGACTCACTAGAGATCAGTTAGCTCTACTTTAATTTCACACGCAGTGAAGCAGCAGATCCTAGTACAAGGCTCACATGTCAAAATAAATCTTCGCTTTCATAAAGTTTTCTATTAGTTGTAAACAGGAAAAGTTGTAACCTTTAATTTCTGCAGTGAGCTGAGTCTAGTGTAGAGGCAATGCTTGGGGAGCTCCTTTGATACTAAATAGCTGCCAGTTTCTTCAGGTGTCCCTTTATTTGCATCTTTTGGATCAATATCCAGGTCCTGTGAAAATCAATAAATGTTATTAGTGAAATCAGTGGAAGTCACAAGATTGTCTATGACAATAAAACATTTTAATGGGTCTTGCTCTTTCCTGACTATTGGCCTAAGTATGTAATCATTTATCCAGGACTAAAGAAACAATGAAAATGTTCTAATAATAATAGGAATTTTAAATTCTGCAGTGGTACATTAAAAAAGGTAGCTCTGAAAGGAGTTACTTTCAAACTATCTCTAGAAACACTTCTGAACCTACTCAAGATTCCTTTTAATTTCAAGCCCCATGTGGTGACTCCTGGACTCTCTCCATCCTTACTCATCACTTTTGGAAAGGTGCAGAAGCGTTTATATGATTTGTCTATTTAAGGAGAATAAATGGACATGCCAAAGGCAGCCCTTCCTTCTTCCTCCTTGTAGAGCCAGCCATGGCCGAGAGCAGTCTGTCCTGCTCCTCCAGGGAGAAGTCCCTCGGCTCTGCGCTGCCCTATGCCCAAGGGGCTGATCCCCACCCTGCACTACCCACTGGGGGGCAGACCTGACTAATTCTGGGGTTCTGTGCTGTACCATTTGTCCTCACACTAAGTAATGTCCTCCATGAAGCCTTTAGCAGTAGCAAAGACGATGTTTCAGATTTACTCCTTGCTTCCTTCTCAATGTACTACGCCTATGTAGGAAAGAACAGCACCGTTCATTGGCTTCTTTTGGCCAATGCACACAAAAAATTCCATCTAAATGTTTGGAAACAGAACTTGATTTCTACTCTTCCAAGATACTGCTGTCACTTGACAAAAAAGACTGTTGTAATAACTCATATTGGAATGAACAGTTTTTAAATGGAAATTATTCTTGACATATGATTAACATACATTTTATTCCTTCGCATTTGATAATCCTATTTTGGGCATGGGAAATTCCTATTTAGTGAACTTTAGATATCTCTAAATTTGACAAATTTAAGGTATGTTGGCAACTGGCTTTCAAATGGCATGACCAGTGTTACTAAAATACAAGTAAGTAAAATAAGTATTTATGTATATTATATATGTATACATATTTCTTTTATATTTATCAACAACTTTAAGTTTTCCAAAATTTAGTTTTTAATAAGTGAGGATATATCATTAGATATTATATTTTTTTAAAAAAAGGAAGAGACTTACAAGTGGAAAATCAGTGACATAGGCATCGCACATTACTATATCAGGCGGTCTGTGAACTATACTTGTGTAGATTATCATGACGTTGGAAAACTCAGCTGCAAATCCTAATTGAATCTGAACACCACACTGAAATTTAAGACACATACTCTCTGGAAGTTCTGAGAAAGAACAATAAAAGTAAGTTATAAATAGTTATTTAAAGAGGGAACTTTTCTGATGGTAAACAGCAAACAAATAATCTTTATGGGGCAAACTACAGTTAAAACACTTTCTTTTGCTTAAAAAAGTTATATAACTAACATATGAAGGGGGACCCAAAAAACCCCTGAATTATTTTTTGAAGGGCAGGCCCCTTGTAGTACGGGCTTCCCCTACTAGATGAGTGCTCTAGGAACCCATCTGTATCAGTGCACCAGCTGGTGGTGTTGTGAGAGGTTGTGTTCGGCTTCAGTGCGTTTTTTGAAGAGTCAATGCATTTCCCCATTTCATGATGATTGATTTAGGAGGGCACCTGCCCATACCATGCAGAGTGTTGAGCAATTTTTTTGACCCAAAAAACCCCAGCATGACTCCCATGCCCCACCCTCCCTATTCACCCTGTCTTGCTCTGATCTTTTTTGTTTCCCTAGGCGAAAAAAGTCCTCAAAGGAAAACGTTTTGCTGATGTAGAAGAGGTAAAACAGAAAACAGCAGGAGCACTAAGAGGCATCAAAATCAACGAATTCAAAAACTGTTCTGAGCAATGGAAAAACGTTTGATAGGTGCATTGCATCGAATGGAGAGGACTTTGAAAGTAACTGAAGTTTAAACATGTAAGGATAAATACACAATTTTTAATAAACAAATTCCATTTTTGGGTCCCCCTTTGTATTGTTTAAAGACACACACACACACACACACACACACACTCTCTCAAAAAAAGAGAAAACAAAAACCCAAAATGATGTTGGTCAAGCAAATAAAAATCTTTCATCTACTGTTTCCTTATGGTTCTTATCCCTTCACTTATATAACTTTTATAGTAGTAATCAAAAGTATACATAATATTGTAAATGTATTTTTCCTGTTGCCACAATTTTCATGAAAATAGTTTTTGATAAAGCATAATGCCATTCTGGTTTGTTATCTTTAACGATTCTGCTACTGTGGAGTCTAATATTTTTGGGTTTCATTGTTTTTCTGTAATAGGCACTATTTCTTATATATATGTAACGCTTTAGGATTGTTGGATCCTAAACAATGGTTCCTCACAATTGCAAGTTTTCCACTTACACACAATATAACTATGCTAGTTTCTCCATTACATTTCTACAATATTAATTTTCAAAAAATATGCCTATGGGATTCAGCTAAAAAAAACTATGCCATCAAAGATTTAATTTTTTCTATAATTACTATTTTAGTTTGCCATTCTCTATATTTCTTGCTTAATTATAGCTTAATTATTAATACATTCTCAACTGTGTGAATTGTTGAATTTACATCCTTCGATTATTGATTAAGGGGGTCTTAATGTTTTGTTTTATTATTTTACATGGGCTCTTTATTTTAAAAAATTATCTACTTACCAAATTCGTCAAAAATACTTTCTACTTGACCTTTCAGTTTTATTTTATAACAAGGTTTTGTTTGCTTTGCTCTTTACCACTATAATTTTGTTACTGCTGATTAGAGATTTTTTAAAGGAAAAAGAATCAATTTCAATTACTTATCCATCATTTGGAATGCCAAGATAACACATTTATGTCATTTTACATTTGAATGTGCTTTAATATATTAATTTATCAAAAGATGTTTTTTCATATATTATAAAAAAGACATTATATAAAAGTTCAACAAAAACAATTATTTTCAACTATCCATAATGATGGATTCACAGCATAGATATTTGGGACTAAGAGAAAATCCAAAATATTTCAGGCAGTAATTTATTTTTTACTTATTTATTTTTCCTCTTCAGGGGTGTTTTATTTTTTCTTCAATAATTCATTTTTATTTTATTTTTTCATTATCATTTATCTCCCCATACCCTCTTCCTCAGTCAATAATTTAAACTTACTTTTTCATGAAACCCCACAGAATTATCAAAGGGAATTAAATTACAGACATGAATCCTACTTCGCCTTCTTTTCTCTTCTTTACCAGCCCACTGATTCAAGTGTCAAAGACAAAACGCTCAGTGGTATTTACAGGCAGACAGTGTTTGCTGACCACCATGCTTGTGTCTTGACAAGTGTCATTTCATTCACTACCAACAACCCTACCCAGCAAGTACTCTCTCTCCTCCCCATTTTGTAGGTTAACATGCTCATCATGCTTAGCAGAACCCCGGCCTGTCTGATTTCTGATGCAGGACATTTAATGGCTCACATATAGGACAGCCTAAAGGAGTGTGTATTAAATTGAAAATTATTTTTAAATGATCATATTTTAATTTTACTAATGGTAAAAATGAGTTAAATACTTTACTATTTCCAACATCGAGGAAATCGGTGTCCTATCTGTCGTTGAAACATTTGTTTAGTCTTGTGTTTGCCTGCAAGGCTAAAATATTTTCACTGCAACATTGGGGGGAAAGCTGCAGACTCAGGAGGGAAAAATACTTCATGACTTAACAGAAGCATATTATCGAAAGGGCTCACAAAAACAGATGCGAGTGTACCGTGCGCCTTGGCCCACTGCAGGTTCCGCACCAGCGACTCTGCGGAGTGTGCCGTTCCTTGTATGGGGTCAGTCAGGGCTCTCTTTTCAGATAAACTGCTTCGGATCTCGAGAGCCTGCTTGCCTTTGGTGAGATGACATTTACCCATATCTAAAAGATAAGAAGTAAATATTATTTTTAAGACCATAATCCTTTCATTACATTTTAAATGCTTAGGCCAAGAACTCACCTATAAATCAGATTAGTCTCCGTGTCACTTATTCACTCAGCAAATATTTACTAAGCACCTAAATGTGTCGGGCAGAGTTCCACGTGCTAGGGATATGTTAGGAAGCAACAAGATAAAAATGCTGAACCAGCTCACTTCTAAAGGCCCCTCTCTAGCGTTTATCTTCTCTAATTCTAATAATGAATCCTCGCTATTCTCAGCCTTGAGATTCACAAAGAACTGGAAAGTGTATTTCTTCACTAAAGGGCAGGCACGATGGCTTTATGTCTCTACTCTCTTGAGAACCAGGTTCAGTTAGTAAACATGACTCTACATCTATGAGAAAGTATCCTGTCTTTACCACAGATTTCTTTATTTTTAAAAAAGGAAATTGTGTGTCAAAACCACCGGCATGGTTAAAGGCCCGCCTCCGCCCACCCCTGACCATTCTCTGCTGTGCTCTGCGTCCTCCCACGCACATCGGGTAGGGCTGGTGAACAGTGTGTGCCCAGGTTTTAGGTTTTGAATTTAACGCAAATGTCATGCTGAATACACGCTTGGTATCTGTCATATATAGATGAACTGGTGCTTTTGATTGAGTTTTCAAGAGTTCAATTATATTTAGAATATAACATTAGAATGCAACCTTTCAGAGTCTCTGCAGCACCTTCATAGACCTCAGTTTGAAAATAACCAACACAGCCCAAAGGCTCTAATTGTTTTTTTTAAGCAGCAGAAACTTTTCTTCAAATAGGAGCTTAAAGAGAGGCCCAGTATGTAAAACAGAGAAAAGCAGAACTGCTCCGGGTGCAGGCGGCCAAGGCAGCCCAGCTGCCTACGCGAAGCAGGAAAGTGGCCCAGCGACCCAGCGGAGGGATCTGCGCCGCCGAAGACGTGACAAGGGGCAACGCGGCCGGCAGCTGTTAAGGGAACATTCGGGTACCTGACGCTCACACTGCCACTCTTGCAACATCTGTGGAACACCAGAAACTTGTCTGCAAAAGAACTGCCTTCTTTTTGATACGGCTTATAAACTGGTACTTCAAAAAATACACATCTACAGATGCGACAGGACTCAGTCGGTCTGTGACCCGAGCACCGCAGTCTACCCGGCTGGCAGGGAAGGGGACGGCAGGAAAGGGAAGACGTGGTGTTAGACCTCTAGGGTCACGTCCTTAAAGCAAAAATTTAAAACCACTAAGTTCATTCAAAAAAACAAACAAAAAACAAAAAACAGTTTTTTTCCACCAGGGCCTCAAAATTTATATCAAGCTTCATCTGCCTGGGCCTGAGAGACAATGCCGGTTAAACGATCTTTCGCAAACAAGTAGAGGGGCAACAGCAGGCACCAGGCACAGAAACAGGGTGAAGAGCTCTGACGATCACCCTCTGTCTCAGCATGTCTGAGGTCAGCCTTGCAGTTCAAGTAACGCTGCACAGGTGGCATGTGGCTAAGTCAAGAGAGAAGGAAGGAACTAAATAGCTGCGTCGCTGAAGATCATATTAAAAATTATGTTATAAAATGACATAGTGTTAGTTCCAAAGATGCACTATAACAGTAGGAATAAAATAATTACCACACAGAGAACCTCGACTAGCTTTCTCTTTATTTTACCTTCTGCAACTTCATCCAGTAACACAGTAATTTTCTTCTCTTCTAATAATCTATCTTTTAAAAATTTCATAAAGATTCCATTTGCCAATCCAGAATGTTGGATTTCAAAAGCTTCTGCTCCTTGACACCTTAAAAACAGCACAAAGAAAAAAAATTTAAAAGCCAGGACTCGTCATGTGAGGCTCCCATAAGCACGGATGAGCCTCCTGTGCTTGCCCGCGTCTGCGTGACGTCCTAACTAAAGAGTTTGTCTTTACGCAGGAACTACATGCTTCAGTGCCTGGTAAAAAGAAGGTGCCATAATATAAAGTGTTTCAGTCAATTATTTAAAATTTGCTATCAAGAATATCAAGGAGGAAAATGAATACCTACATATCTATGGATATTTCTAGGCTTCTAACCTACAATAAAAAAATTAATGAAGATTAAAGGAATTGTGGACATAAACATAAAAGCTTCTGCTCTGGCCAGGTGGCTCAGCTGGTCGAAGCATCATCCTGTACACCAAAAAAGGTTGTGGGTTCGATCCCCAGTCAGAGTGAGTACCGGAGGCAATTAATCAATGTTTCTCTCTCACGTCAACGTTTCTCTCCCTCCGCACCCCTTTCCTCTATTTGTAAAAATCAATAAAAACTTATCCTTGGGCAAGGATTAAAAGAAGTTTCTTACGTGGCATATCCAAACACAATGTTGGCGGTGACTTTCAGTGCATCCAAGATTGGAATGGTATCATCGTAGTCATTTCTATTTAAAAGGTTGGAAGGGAGAAGGCCAGATACAAGCATAAAAAGTTAAAAAACATTTTTAAAAAGAGCACAATAACATAATAAAAATATGCTATAACACTATTCTATTATACGTAACTCAAAATTATGTATTCAAAGTTCCTTTTTCAAATCACCTCCGTATTTACCAAAAATAATCCAGGGCATCCACACTGCTGAGACAGTGGATGGTCACATCTTTTCTCTTGTTAACGTTAAAACCGGAGTCACATTTGAACTCTGGCATTGGATTTCGGCTAGTAAATGCTGAGCAAGCAAAAAACTGTAAGCCTGAGAGGAATAATCATTAGCTCCATTCCTCAGTAACATGGGGGCAGACACATGGGGTCTGGGCCGGCTACACTTTCTGTATCTGCAAGAGCAGGGCTGACCCGAGCGGCCAGAGGCCCCAGGGCCACGGGTGCGTTGCTGTGACTCTGTGGAGAAATTGGTGAGGTGGTTGTGGGAGGCATCTGAGGAGCTGCACATTTTGCGGTAGGAATAAATACCCAGGCTCTTTAGTTCTTTACTTTTGTTCTACAGCAAACAGGAAAAAGTTAAAAGAATTCAATACACGAAGAGAAAATATATTTCCCTCCTGTTTTCTTCTTAATCAGCTTCAATCTATACAATTCACAAACATAATCTTGGCATTTGCAGGTTTGCGTTACATGTAATTTGCCAAAGCTGACATTGAACTCCAACAAGCTTCACTGAGTGAAGATGAGACAGTTTACCTTTTCCTACACATATCCAACAAGAACACATTGAGTCCAGTTTCTTTTTCTTGCATCAATTTCAGTATATTCTGCACACAGAGACAGTTTTCAGACCTATATGGATTTGGAGCATCAACAGGGACCATAAAGCTGTTCCCAAAGTTTTCATAACCATGTCCCGCATAATATAATAATCCTGAAGAGGACAAAAAGGGGCAAAAGTTAATTTTTTTACTTTGATTTTTTTTAAGAGAGAGAGAGAGAGAGAAAGAGAGAGAAACATCAAAACATCAACTGGTTGTTCCACTTATTTATGCATCATTGGTTGATTCCTGGATGTGCTGACTGGGGATCAAACCCACAGCCTTGGTGTATCTGGGCAATGCTCTAAACCAACTCAGCTACCCGGCCAGGGCAAAAGTTAATTCTAAATTGTACTCTGAACATGTCTGTAGCACTCTTTAAAAAAAATATACGGCTTTTATTTTCTTCAAGTTAATGCAAACTCATTTAAGAGATTCCCAGTTATAAATACAGTCGATGTTAACTAAATGTGCATTGAAAATTATTTTGGTGATAGTGTTCATTCTAGTGCCGTATTTTAAACCAACATCAAGACATTGTTCTGAAGAGTATTTTAATTCATGAACGTAATACATTTATAACCAATGGTGTAATGTGGAATGTGATTCGTCTCACAAAGTAAATAAAAAGAAAAAAACGCGAGGGGCCTCCCTGCTGACTCATTTATCTCCTCCCCAGACCAGGACTTCCTCCGTGGCAGGGCCAGAGTCTACATCTATCTGGGTGTTGCTGGTACACAGCAGGGGCTCAGAAGTATTTAACAGATGAACGAAGAAACACAATTTAGATGAAAAGCAACTGTAATATGAAGCATAAGAAATTCCACAGGCATTTCAATATAATCAGTGAGGGTTACAATAATATAAATGTAGTTTTTTCTAAGCAGAGAAGGGGGATTATTTTTTTCTTAGTTGTTATGAGATATAAATATCATTAATTCTTCATCTAGAGTCTCTTGAATTAGTAATTTATAATTTGAGTTAGTTTCAGTAATCAATAGATGAGCCATTATTTCTTTACTGAGAAATGATACTATGAAACGTGCACCAAACAACTCTAAAGATTTTCTTTAAGTTTTGTTTTAGCTGTTAAAAAAAAAACAACAACAAAAGAAAGCCCCAAAAATATCAGTATGGGCTTCCTTATAAAAATACTCAAGAGAAATACTTGTGAAGACCTATCTCCTAAGCTTCAACCACTAGAGCCCACTAATTTTGTTTTCTTAGAATTCTGGAATGAAACTTCTTTATGTAAACAGCAGAAAGGCTTCTAGATAGGGAACAACAAAAAAATGCCAATCCTTTGTGGTTTTTGTAGTTATAGGTCCAACTCCTGGCAGAAGATGTGGCTTTGAACACTTAAAAAAAGTTTCATTTGGTCCCAGGGTGCAGGATCCAGGTCTTCAACTTTTATTAGACTCTTACTAAAATGACAAAAGTGGTTCTTTCATAAGCAACATTTCAGGTCAAAAATGACAAAATGAACACACATTTATTCAGTGTGGGTTTAATTTATATCTCATGTGTGCCCTGAATATAATCATGTTGGCACTGCAGGAAATTAAAAAGAAAGACAAAGTTCTTGTCCCTGAGGTTCATGCAACTCAAGCTGTTAGTTAAACAACAAAGACAATCAGCCTATAATTAATACTGTTAGTTCTGTGATCAGGGCAACCCTGTACGATAGGAGTGAAGCACAGAGTGGATTATCAGTGCGAGGGAAGCAGTAACAGATGGTCTTGGGAGAAAGGAACAACCTGGAAAGGCAGAGGAAGAGCAAGGGATATTATCGGCAAGGAGAACAGAGGCAAACAAGGCTCGGACCTGGAATAACAGATAATAGGAAGACAGCTAGTCTGGCAAGGAATTAAATGATCATGGATGAAAGTAGGAGTGCACAGATAGGGAGCATTTTGAAAATCATGACTAAACGAGTGGATTTAATTCACTAAGCAATGATGGTCAAGTGAGTGAAAAGACAACTTACAGAATGGGAGAAAATATTTGCAAATCAAGATCTACAAGGACAACTTGTATTCAGAATATATAGAAAGACTCCTTTTTTCAACAATTCAAAGGACAAACACTCAAATAAAAAATAGGCAAAGGATTTGAACAAACATTTCTCCAAAAAGGATATACAAATGGGAAATAAGCACATGAAGAGATGCCCAACATCATTGGCCATTAGGGAAAAGCAAAACAGAACCGCGAGAGCACTTTGCACTTACGAGGACAGCTATAATAAAAAGACAGACAGTAACAAGTGTTGGCAGGGATGTAGAGAAACTGGAAACCTCACTTATTTCTGGTGAGAGTATACAATAGTACAGGCACTTTGGAAAGAGTTAGGCAGTTCCTCAAAAATTTAAACATAGAATTATCCTATGACCCAACAATTCCACTCCAAGAGAGCTGAAAACACATGCCCACGGCCCACATAAGAATGTGTACATGAATGTTCACAGCAGCATTGTTCATAATATCCAAAAAGGGGAAACAACCTAGATGTCCATCTTCTGTAAGTGGATAAACAAAATGTGGTATATATCTACATATTGGAAGATTATCCAGCCACAAAAATAATGCTATAACATGGATGGACCCTGAGAACATTATACTAAGCGAATGAAGCCAGACACAAAAAGTCACATATGGAATGATAACATTTTTATGAAATGCCTGAAATAGGCAAATCCTTAAGAGACAGAAAGTAGATTTGTTGTTGCCAGAGGGCTGGGATAAGGAGGAATGGGGAGTGACCACTAACGGATATGGGGTTTCTTTTGGGGGTGATGAAAATGTTCTGAAATTAAGGCACTGATGCAGAACTTTGTGAATATACTAAAAACCAATGAAATGTACATTTTAAAAGAGTAAAATTTATACTCAAGTACTCAAAATATGAGTCTATTTCCCAACAGTCTCTTTACTGCTTCTAGAGAAAGATGTTTATTTTTAACCTCCATTATCCTGCTCAGGTTACTCTGTCTCCTCAAATCTTAACCAGTCTTCGCAGTCACCTCAGGCTCAGAACCCTCCGCAAGCTACCGGCTGGTTTCTACTTCTCTAACACACCTTCACCTCGCCCTACCTGAAAACCTCCCAGCAGCGTGCGCTCTCTGCCACTTACGCACGCACTGGCTCTTACAGACATTTTACAGTTCTATGTATATTTAATTTCTCTGATAAAAAAAATTATCACAATAAAGACATTATTCTTACAGAATTTTCATGGTTTTCAAAGCACATTCATATACAAGATCTGATGGTAATCCATGTAACAATTTTAAGTGACTTCTATCCCTATTTTATAGATGAGAAAATTAAATTTAAGAAGATTAAAGGACTTGCTTAAAATAACATATCAGATAGGTGTTTGGGCTCCATATACAGCATGTTTCCCCCCTCATTACATTAAGGGACTTATAATTTGAGCATAAAGATCACGTTCTTTATTTTCAGGACGTCCCTCAATATCTAGCATATTCCTTATCTGGGCTATGGATATAGCAGGAACTCAGTAAAGCTTAATGAATGTATTAAGTTAACAATGCAAACCATTCAGGACACAGGGAGACCTGATTTTCAGTGGAAATGGTACCATTTCTACAACCGATCCTGCTTAGAGGCAGCCACACAAGAAAGCTTGGTTAATGCGTCTGGCTCTAACAAGACTCAATCTGGGAAAAGCAGCAACAAGGAGCAGAAGTTTCACCTCCATTATCCAGGGAAAGCTAGGTGTGGCCCGGTATTTCAATGCCATGTGCCCAGCTGCACAATCGCTGAAATCAAGGCACTTACAACAAAATACCTTTTCTCTGCTCCAAGATGATTTATGAAAAGCATAAGCATTTTCTATCAAATTCTACACCCAGATTATACTGCAAGAGATTAAGCATTTTTATGTAAAATAAACTAGACCAAACCACTGTATTTAAAAATTCCCTCTCTAGTACTGCTTATTATTTTAATTAACTATCCTGTTACCCAAGGACAGAAAGACAACATAGGTATCTTTAAAAATGATAAAGACTCAGTCCACGGCCACACCACCCTGAACACGCCTGATCTCGTCTGATCTCGGAAGCTAAGCAGGGTCGGGCCTGGTTAGTGCGTGCATGGGAGAATTTAATGTGGGTAGAAATATAATCCTATAAATTCGATCTTTAGAGAAATTTATTTCTTGGGAATACGATTTCCAAGAATATGGTTTGTCACAGATATTTATTTTCGTCTCCAGAGAAAGTAACTGTTTAATGTCAGACTGTCTCACCTGAGCCACACCGCAGCGCACCCAGCACGGCGGCGCTCTGGTTAGCAGGCCCCCCGCCGCCCTCATCACCACTGTGGACTCACACGGCTCTTCTTCCTGTACCGGGCACAGTTCCACGGAAGCGCTTCACTGACGTTTTACCTCATATAATCCTCGTAAGCTGCACCTCGTAGCAAGGTCGGTAATACTATCACCCCCTCCCCCAGCCCCTTTACAGCTGTAAGACCAGAGACACTGAGAGGTTCAATACTTCATCCAAAGTCACACAGCTAGTTGGTCAAAGACCCAGAATTTGTATGCTCACCAGGTTAACCAACAAACCCTATTATATTGTCTCTGTATAATCTACTGCCGGCTTTCTAGGTAACTTGACTTTCAGAAAATAGAAAATGTCAGTGTACTGGTTCTTCGTGGTTTCACTACACCACCACTGAAAAAAACCCCTTCTTCTTCTTTTTTTTTTTTTTAAAGGGAAATCTTAGGCTGAACCTGAATGTATGTAAGATGTAAAAGCTGGTGGCTCTAGCTGAAGCCTGAGGTGGAATGCTGCCTGGTTCAAACCCCCATCTAAAGGTGAACGGAAACTTGAACTCAGGGAATTACAGTAACAATAGCTACAATATTTTGAGCGCTTTTAGTAGGCCATGCACAGAGATAAGACTGAGAAAAGCCATTAAAAATGTACTGTTAACAGTTTTCATGGAGGTGCATCGTTAACTATAGATACATAAAACTTCAGTTTACAAAGTTTCATATGCCTTGTTCGCCAACATTTTTTTGTGAAATTCTTGTTTCTACTAGGCCAGAAAATACCATGCAATAGTTAGAAAAAAGAAACACAGAATGTACACGGGTTACAACCTCTTATACACCAAACACACACACATGCCCCAAGACGGTCATATTTTACAAACACGAGTATGCAATTTTCCATTTCATGACCATGTACTGTGGTCAATAAAAAGCAAAATCACCTAACATTGTTAAGAATTCTAATAAGAATAACATTGTTTTCAAAACAAGAAACAGGAAAATAAATACATTAAGCTAATCAGTTATTTATATGGAAATACAGCATGAAGGCCAAATCCATTTTTTTTTTTAAACAATAAAACTTTTCAATTCAACAATGTGTTTACCGTACCTTTTTCTGATTTTTAACTCTTAACCCTAATTTGTTCAATGAAAAATAGTGGATAATTATTAAAACAAAGATTATAAATATCTTACCGTATACTCCTTTGTCTAAAAGTAGTAAAAATTCATCCACAGCATTACGCATCTCATATTCAGTCAGATCCAACAGGGAAACGACTTTAAAGTCTAGCTGCCTTAACAAGTTGGTCAATTCATACACGTCCACCAAAGGAGCTTTAAGCTTAGGGTGCTCCCAGTAATTCATATTTCCTATCAAAAGAGCAACCTTGTCCTTTGCTGTGAAAAGAGGGAGGGATTTAAAGGGGGAAATAAAGATTAAAATAAGACCTATGGAAATGGCATGATTACAATAAAAAGTATGCTCTACAACAGGACTTCGTTATTACTTAATTTCATCTTAGAGTGATCACTTTATGCCTTCAACCAATATAGTGGGGACCACAGAGGCTGATGAATCCAACAACTGAAATGGAACTTATTGACACTTCTGAGAACCAGGCAAATGGTACTTATTAGCAGTATATATATGAAGCATAATAGTTATTAATATTAAAGTATTTTTGTTGAATTACAAAAGTAAAAATGTTATATTCAACTAGACTTTTAGAGCAAATTTAAATAAGAAATGTTTGAAATTGGGTTCCCATCAAATTAGGTTTTGTTTTTGCTGACAATGGAAGAGGCTAAAAACAAAAGAAGTGCCCAAAAGAAGAACAGGAAGATTCACATCTGAGCAGTAAGGGGAAATACCAGAGGGGACAGCAAAGCAGCAACTTAACAAGTACTGTATCTGTGTTTTTTCAGTTGATAAACTGTCTTAAAAAAAATTCCCATTTGGGTGAGATGCAGCTACTTTAGGGATATGTGAAGACTTTTGTATGAGTATCTTAATAGTTTATTTTCTGACCTTAGTGCAATGAGACTTTGTTCACAGTTATATTCTCATACGAAGAATTTTTCTGTTTTTAAAGGACAAAAAGACCCAACACCAATGCCTTAAAAAGTACCAGCTAGCTAAATCAGGCGTATAGCTTGTCCAAAAACAACTGTGGAAGGCTGGACATAGCTTAGCGTGGAAGAGGTCTTCAAAATCGTACCTTTGCTAGTCTGGGTGGGGTTAAAAGTTAAAGACTGGAGACCATGCCATGACTATAGGAGCCTGTTAAGATGTTTTTCTTGCAGACACCACGGTGTGGGTCTGAAGGACACACCAGGGAGCAATGGAGATGGCGTGACAACAGCCTGGGGCTGAAGAGCCACACTGGGCAGGACTACAGGCCATCGCCTTTGGACACAGGCCAGGACTAGGCGACCAACCTCTGTCACTCAGTGCTAAGTATTTTATTTAGAAATTATGAAAACAAAGTCTGGAGAAAAACTAGTGCTGAAGAATGTGACTCTCAAAGTGGTGGAAAACCCCACTTTGTGAAGAGCTTTACTACTTTCATGTTGTGGTATCTTTATTCTATATTTACAGTTTTTAGAGACTTTTTCAAAGATTTTACTTATTTATAGAGAGGGGAAGGGAGAGAGGGAGTGAAGCATCAATCCATTGCCTCTTACACATCCCTAACTGGGGACCCGGCCCGCAGCCCAGGCATGTGCCCTGATTGGGATTTGAACCAGCAACCTTTCAGTTCGCAGGCTGATGCCTAATCCACTGAGCCACACCAGCCAGGGCTGGAGATTTCTTGCAAACTGCCCAATCTTATGAGTATGCACATTTTAGAAAAAAAAAAAAAAGTGATACTTAAGCCACATTTCTTATCCATATAAGATTCAGATATCAAGCTTCTATTAAACTACCTTTAGTTCTAAAACTCAATTGAAAAGTTGAGACTACTCAGGATGGATTTCAATAGGAGGCAGTATGAAACTTAACATCATTGTATTTCCTTTGTTCTTTTAAACTTTCTTCCTAAAAAGAAAAGATCAAAGTACTCACTGTATAGCAAGACTATTAGCTGGCTAACCCACAGAAAGAAAACTTTCGGTGCATTCCTTTGTGAGCCCGCCAACCCTGTCAGAATTCGGACCCAACCGCAGTATAGCGAAGGACTCAGTTCAATCTCCTTCTAAGGGAGGAGAGAATGTGATGTCTCCGGCTTACATCATGGTAGCCCAAATCACGGGGTGCCCAAAGTTATTCAGGCAGTAACGTGTTCATAAATCATAGTGGGTTTTTTTTGTGGAATATTATGATAATTTAATTATCATAATAACATTATGATAGTTTAAAATGTATCCTAAACTAAGCTTTATTGGCAGAAAACAATTAGAAGGTATTTAATAGGAAAAAACCCCCACTGGGGTCTTTGGGGGAAAAATGGTTGTCTAACTATGCATGATAGGCTGTTTCCGTTGATATCAACCCTTTATTCATTGTTATCTGGTTGGAAAGACCCCATAGGATAGTTTACAGAACATAAGTGTTCAACAACCTGAGAGCTATGTGTACTACAGTGTAGGTATTAATAATTGACCCTAATTCTTCAAAATATTTTCCCTGATCATTTTTAATAACTAGTTTTTAAAATGTCTTAGAGCATTTTCTTGAAATAAATGGTAATAAAAATGAGGAATAAATAAACCTTACCGTGTCCAACTTGTAAAACTGTTGCTGAATGACAGGCGAACTGGGAAGGCGCAGCACAGAGAAGCAGACCGCAGCGGTCAAAATGAGATGACCAAGACTCATTTCAGGAAGTTAGTTGTAGACAGGGAAAGGAAAAGCCAGAGTTTAGAGATATGATAGAGGACGGAACAGTAAAATTTGAAGTTGAGAAGATAAGACTGAGGAATGAAAGCAAACTTTAAGACAGCAGCTATAGAAACATTTATGATAGTTTTCAGGTGATAATATAAATGGAAGAAAGTATCTGCAGAAAAACATTTACTGTAAGAGCCACCCACAATTTCTTGAACACAAACCCTCTACTGGAAAAAGGAAACACAAATGCAAGTTGATTAAGCAACAGAATAAAACCACTTCAGAAAAATATTTAATTACATGATCCTAGACATTTTCCAAAGCTCAATGCAATGTATTCGTTAAAAATTGGTAGTGTTATATTATTAATTCCATGTCTAATAATCAAATAGTGCTACTCATCTTATGTAAAATTAATTAATATTCATAAGCACTTGGAAAAGGGTCTGGAACATATTTAGTGCTATGTAAGTGTAATTGAACATTAGCATCAAATCTGACTGGTTGAATATACAGTGCTTGTTGGTCTCATGCATAAGATCTTCTTTTTTAATCCTCACCCAAGGGCATGTTTATTGATTTTAGAGAGAGGGGAGGGGAAGGGGAGAGAGAGGGAGAGAAATGTCGATGTGAGAAAATGGATCCATTGCCTTTTGTATGCACATTGACTAGGACCAAACCCGCAACCCAGGCATGTGCCCTGACTGGGAATCCAACCTGCAACCTTTTGGTTTACAGAAGGACATTCCAATCAGCTAAGCCACACTGCCCAGGGCATAAAATCTTTTAATCTCTGTGTCCTATACAATAAAGTCCAAAATCCTCAGTCTGGCAAACAAAGTCATTCAGGCCCTGGCCCACGCCTGCATTCCAGCTGCGCCCCCACGCTGAGGTGAGAGTGAACCCCGCCTCCTTGCCCTCACCTGAGCAGTCGCCCTCGCCCCGCCCCCGCACCCATCCCCTGCCCCCAGCCCCGAATCTGGGCTGCCCTGTGATTCCCTTTGGACACCATAATGTGGCGTGACACGCCATCAGATCTAAGTCTGAACCTGGAGAAGTCTGACAGTTTCCAGTTTGGGAAACTTGGCTACATGGTGAGGCCATGAGGGGAAAAGAGCGGAGGGGAGAGAGTGAAGTAGATCAAAAGCTCACAACAGGAAAACAGGGGAGCGCCATCCAATTTGAAGAGGCAGCAACTATTTAACCACAACTGACAGCTACCCCTTTTCATGAGTACCCGGAAATCTGAATTTTTAAATATCTGATCAGTGACAACTGATTATAATTGATAAAAACACTCTATGTCCCCCCACCGCCTAAAAAGGGTCAGCCAGTTTTGTGCCCTTTTCTCTGTTGCTTGTAGCGATCTCACGTTTGCTGCCCTTGGTTTAACTTCCACATCTATGCCCATGACACTCATTGCGCATCTCCAATCCTGGCCTCTTCATCAAGTTCCGGACCCATGTATCCAACCGCCTGCCGTACATCTTCACCTACATGTGACACAAATACCTCTCACTGGTTGGGTCCCACACCGACAGTCCTGTGTCCTCTGAAGCCTACTTTTTATTCTGTGTTTTCCAACTCAATGTATGCGATCACAGCCCACCTAGCCCCCCTAGCGGTCCAAGCAAGAGTCTAAAGATCTTCTGAATCTGTTCCTGTCTTCTGCATTCTCACTGGTAACCCTAGTTTAGACTTTCGTTTCTTCTCTAGACTATTGGAACAGTCTCTTAATTTTTCTCCTAACCACACACCTCTATTTAGTTTACTGTGTACACCGATACGGGACGTGCCTTTCAGAGGACACATCTCATTCATCCCTCTGCCAGGAAGCTCCCTGCCACGGCTTAACACGGAACAGGGCTCCTGAAGTTCTGGCTTCACCCTTCTTCTCTCGTCTCCTTCTCTTCATGCTCCAGAGCACAGGGCGCTACTTGCAGTCCCCCCAATTCAACACCCGGTCTCATTTCTCTCCTGCGCTGCACCTCGGGGCGCAGGCTGCCTCTGTCTGGAAGGCTCTTCTACTCTCAGTTCAGAAGGCAGAGCTGCTGTTGCCACCGCTCTGCAGCTTTTCCAGACTAACCCCAGCGAGAGACGGTGTTACTCGCCTCCAGGGAACATGCATGTTTACTTGTTTGCATGTTGCCAAAATAAAGAAATCACTCCACAGAAGCTGAGTTGGTCCCAGAAACTGAATTCATAATCTTTGTAAGCCCCCTGTTGTATAATTTCCTTTATAAATATCAAAATTAACCATTTGGTCTCCATGTCATTATATTTATAAAAGCTGTCAAATTAAAATGTTTAAATCCCTTTATGCTCACCATAAAAGAGATATATACTATATTTATATTTTGACCAAGCATTTTAGAGATCTACTTACCCAAAGGTTGCTCAGCTGTTTGCTCTTTATTATCTATAAGAAAATAAAAACACAAAGATATAAGTTGTTAATACCCATTCAGGGTTAGAGATATATGAAAGCAATGAATACCATCAGCGACATTAAAAGACAGAATATTATTTCTAACAGCTAACTTATGATTTTAGGATTTCCAGATTCTTTTTTCTTTAGTTCTCACCTGAGGATATGGTTATGGATTTTACAGAAAAAGGAAGGGAGAGAGAAAGAGAAACGTTGGTGTAAGAAACACTAATTTGTTGCCTCCCGTACAAGCCCTGACCAGGGATTGAACCTGCGACCTGCTGGTGTATGGAACAGTGATTCAACTAACTGAGCCCCCTGGCCAGGGCAAGATTTCCAGGTTCTTGATAACAACATGTGCTTGGATAGACAGCCTGGGAACCAGCGCAGGGGAATGCCTTTGGTAACGGACTGCCACGGCTGGGGTAATAATCTTTAACGTGCTGGGTAGAAATGCAGTCTGAAAACAGTGGGTGGTAGGAATAAGCAGCAGCACCAGAGGAGTTAATATTTACTGAATGCCTGGTGCAGTTATAGATGTTTTCAACACAACTGAGTAAAATAAACGACCATTTTACTCTACAAGGTATATACAGTTATTACCTCCATTATACAATTAAGGAATCTGAGGTGGAGAGAGATTAAGTCACTTGTCCAAAGTTACCAAGATAGTAAATCTCATTCCATAGTCCATGCTGTCTGCCATCGATTCTATGTAAAATAAAGTATCTCTCGCCCCAAGGACCATGTGGAAAGAGATACAGGGAAAGATGGAGTTCAATCTGTCTACTACTATAGACAGGGTAACTTTTTTTTTGTATTTGTAACCATTCATATGCTACAGGAGTCTATTAACGTTTTACCAAATTTTTTTTAAATTCAAATTTTTTTGGTGTCTCTGAATATTGAAGAGTAAGGATATAATGAAAGAGGAAGCTAAGAAAATTTTAGAAGTTTAGTGGTGGTGGTTTGCAAAAATTTTCCTGAAATAACTTTTTCCAGTGTTCACTGAAGGGCAAGAAATAACAGACCAACTTAGGAAAAAAGGGCTCTAACCAGACCAAGAGAGGACGGTTCTCGGAAACTAGGTGGGCTTAGATGTTTGGACGGCTCTCCGAGGCCTCCCTGAGCTCCAGGTTGGGATGGCAAGAATGACACACAGCTTTCATAAATATCGAATAACAGGGAGAACAAATGGTTTATTTTGGATATCTGTAAAAGAAATTAAAGAAAAGGTGGCTTAGAAAGACTATAAATTCAGTTTACCTCAAGTCAGTGGTCTTCTGGTTTGTAGAGTTTGCTTGTATGTAATTAGCACAGACCAATCATCACTCACAACAGATGTTTATTTAGAAAACATGAGCATGAAATAAAGAAACAGGTCCTAAATGAAAGAACAGGAGAAATCTCCAGAAGAGGAACTAAGTAAAATATAGGCAAGCAAACTACCAACCAGATACAGAGTTCAAAATAATGGCTATACGGATGCTCAGGGAACTTAGTGTGAACTTCAACGGCATGAAGTACAAAGAAACCATAAAAAAGAACCAGTCAGAAATGAAGGATATACTAACAGAAATGAAGAATAATCTACAGGGAATCAACAGCACAGTAGGTGAAGCCAAGAATCAAACCAGTGATTTGGAATACAAGGAAGCAAAGAACACCCGATGAGAACAGCAAAAAGAAAAAAGAATCTAAAACTATGAAGATAGTGTAAGGATCCTGTGGGACTTCAAGCACACCAACATCTGCATCGTGGGGGTGCCAGAAAAAGAGAAAGAGCAAGAAACTGAAAACCTATTTGAAAAAACTAATGACAGAAAACTTCCCTAACCTGGTGAAGGAAATAGACATGCAAGTCCAGGAAGCACAGAGAGTACTAAACAAGATGAACCCAAAGAGGCCTACCCCAAGACACATCATAATTAAAATGCCACAGGTTAAACACAAGGAGAGAATCTTAAAAGCAGCAAGAGAATAGCAGTTAGTTAACTACCAGGGAGCTCCGATAAGACTGTCCATTGATTTCTCAACAGAAACTTCGCAGGTCAGGAGGGAATGGCAAGAACTACTGATAAAAAGCAAGGACCTAAAACCAAGATTACTCTACCCAGCAGAGCTACCATTTGAATTAAAAGATACATAAAGAGCTCCCCAGACAAGAGAAAGCTAAAGGAGTTCATCACCACCAACGCAGTATTACAAGAATTGTTAAAGGGTCTTTAAGAAGAAATAAAAAATATGAACAATAAAATGGCAATAAATAGATATCTATCAACAACTGAATCTAAAAAAAACAAATTAATGAACAAGCGGAACAGAAACAGACTCACAGATACGGAGAAAACATTTGACAGTAGCTGGCTGGGAGGGGCTTTTCGGGGGGCTGGGTCAAAAAGGTGAAGGGATTAAGAAGCACAGATTTGTTGTTACAGAATAATCATGGGGATGTAAAGTACAACGTAGGGAATAAAGTCATTCCCGTTCTAATAATTATGTATGGTGTCAGATGCGTATGAGATTTATGGGGATGACTGTAAGTTACATAGTGTCTAATCACTGGAGTGAATATCAGAAACTAAAATAATATTGGATGTCAACTGTAACTGAAAAATAAAAAATGATTTAAAAAATTAAAAGAAATATATGGGCATGAAACCAAGCAAAATAGTCATGGCACTAAAATAATGAGATATAACGTGTCAGGAAATAAACGAAATCTCTAGAAATATTACATGATATAACTGCCTTCTTAATCCAGTCCTGTCCCACCACTGCCTTTTGGAACAGCCAGGACCTGGAGGTGTCTGTCCCCTGTCTTTACAGAGTCCTCACTGCTACCCCGCCTTTCATCTCAGCTGAGGCTTTCTCATAGGCTGAACTTGTTCAGAAATCTGTTCTGATTAAAACTGACTAAAGAATGAGGATTAATCTTGCCAACAGAAAATTTCTTAATGGTTACTGACTGGCTACTTACCTATACAATGCAAGGTATACCCACTAACACACCTTTTACTCCAGATAGAGACACCCCACCCAACTAGTTCAGATATATTCTATGAATGAGCAACTTTGAACAAGGCCCCAGGGGTCTGGTGAGTTCAGAACTGCTACTCTGTTACTCTTTTGAAGACTGCTTCTTGTCTTTGAAATTAAAAATCCTGCCCTTCCCCATTAACTGCCTTTTTATGGTCCAGAGTCATTCACAATGACAAAAACTGCATTCCTGTTTTGTGTTGCCTCCACACACTTTTCTATCCTTATATAGTCTTACAATCTAGAATATTTTTTAGTATTTTCACTTACATGAAATTGTACTTCATATAAGTGCTCATTTCAACCCTAAATTATGTTACTTTAATAAAGAAAAAGTTACCATTACTCTAACCAGTACTACTGTTAACGAAATATCTACAGTATCTTTAAATCATTGTGTTTAATACCTTAAAAATCTAAAACTAATGTTTTATGTTTATATTACTCACCAGGATGCCCAAGGTGATGTAATTCATCTGAAATGAAATAAAAGAAAACAGATTAGCTTTAAATAATTTAATTGCCAACTTAGCACAAATAGTAAGATTAATCAGAGAAAGTTTTGAGCTATTCAATTATGTTAGAATGTTTGATCAGTTTAAAATTTTCATATACATTAAATGAGAAGCCATGCAAAACCGAACAGGAAAGAATGCTGCTGTGGATGCCATTTAGGATTTCTGAGCTCTTACTACTTTCATTAAGTGACAAAAAGCTAAACAGGCTCATTCATAATTTGTTCCAAGTTTTGCATATTCTGGATGATTATGGAACATAAACAGTCAAGATATAGGTCTGTCTGTGGTCCCAATGATAACCTTCTTGAAACTAATGAACAGTCTCAAATGATCTATTCCTTTTTTAACACACTCTTAAATTTTAGAACAATTTAAGATTTACAGAACTATGGTGAAGGTGGTGCAGAGTTCATGTAAACATCCACATCCAGTTTCCCTATTTTTTAACATCTTATGTTAGGAAGGTATGTTTGTCCCAAGGTCCCATTCAGGATGCACTGCATTTGCTTATTTGACCTTAGATGCCTCTTGGTTGCGGCAGTTCCTCAGCCTTCCCTCGCTTTGGATGGCCTTGGCGGTTTGGGAATTACTGGTGAGGGACCATGCAGGGCATCTCTCGGGTGGGACCTGTTGCCGTCCTTCTCAGGGCTGGACTGAGGTAATGTGTTTTTTGAGGCGCAGTGGTTTTAGAATTGTTAACCTGCACTTCCTGGCTAAAGGACATCATCTAAGTAAATGTGACATTACAGCTATCTATTTTTCTGCACAAGTTTTACGAAGATAAAAAATGTTAATAAGTTACAAATGTTATACTATTCATCTGATGTTAGGAAGAACTTATTCTCACGTGTGTTATAAAATCAACTAAAGAGTAGCATCAGCTGGAGTACAGGACTATGTACAATTTTCTTTTGCCTTTTACCTTACAGGCTTCCCTGGTTTCCGACCACTCAGGTGAGTGCTCCGTTCTTCCTTCCCCTCCTCAGTGGGGTCGCACTACATATTTGCAGTGAGTTTAGATTCTTTTGTCATATTCCGCATTCCGTCCTGGGAGCTACCCTCCTCTGACCTTCTACAAAGCGAGTTTTTAAAAACTTGCATACGTGTATTCACCATTTCGGTGGTCATACAGGATAGTTTCGCTACCCTAACCATCCCCCTGAACTTTGCCTGTGCAATCCCCGCCCCTGTCCTGATCAAATTCCTTTAACGAAATACCTAAAATTAAATAAGTCCCATGGATAAGAAATTAGTTCCATGGATAAAAAAGGTATGATATTAGGACAGTGTTCATTGATACACATCAACCCACCAATTATAAAGGGTCTCAACTCCATAGATTTTTCAGAAAGGAAAACTGGATCTATTTTTTTCCACCTGAAATTTCTGGAGTTGTTTCATTGTTGGACTTTCATCTCTTAAGTGTTTTGAACAGATTTATTTGAAAGTCATTATTTAACAGGGCGTTTATTATTGCAAAGATTACAGGGAGAAACCCGTAGCTAAAGAGGCACCACTGCAAGGCGCTAATTTACAGGTGTTGTCCTGAAGCCGGACGGAGTAGCAATGCTCGCTTTATTTCTCCTTTTGCTGATTTATCCCCGGGGGACTCCAGTGTTAGAAGTTTTAAAAGTCATGCAATGAGGCAAAAAAGCAAGACGTGAAGAAAGGAGCTGGTGAGCGTTTCTGCACGTAGCCTCCCTCGTGTAGGGCCCAAAGACCACAGACTGAAGCCCCCTTATGCTAGAGGGCTCCCGTTCACAATTAGGTACCGGGCTGAAAACAGTTATTAAAGTATTTCCAAGTGACACCACAGTGCTATAAAGGCAAGAAAACCAGGAAACATAAGGTTTAACGTTATTTTCTTGCTGTACCCCAGTAGAGCCTAAAGTTATATTATAGTTTAAAGAGGCAGAAATTGAAAAAATACTTTGCTATCCAAGAACCTAATTTTACAAAACAATGTGGTATCATACTAAAGGAATTTAAGTTTTAAAATTTACTCATTACAACTTATGTACAATGCTTTGGTTGATTAAAACAAATTAGAAACTTCTGTTGAAACAGATTTTCAATTCTCTTTATATATTATGATAAAGTTGACAGGGAAGATTAATCTATAGCCTTAGGGCTTCAAAAATGGATCTCATCGATTTTATATTAAAACAGAATACATTTAACATTTGATAAAACATGTGTTACACAATAAATCTGTCATGAAACTTTTATAGAAACAGCATTTGCACTGAGAGGCGTATTGCCATGGGTAAAGGATAAAAGAATTGGAACAAGTTTCCATGATGGTATTGCTATCTTTTTTTTTACAAATTTTATAATGATAAAAGTTACCATTAAGAATTCGTTGTATATGTTCACTATTCATAAGCTGTTCAGGAACTTTATTCTTATACATAGTAGAAAATCAACTGAGAATTAGTTATTTTTATAGTGTGTCAGTTTAACAATGTCTGTGGCAACTGATAAACTCTCAAAGACTAGGATACAATATCCTTGATTGAAATGATCTCTTACAGCTAGTATTTTTTCCATCGCTGCACTCGGTAGGCTAGAGCACTCCACCAATCCCAAGAAGAACCAGCATGCAGGGTACTTGGTTTCAAACCAAGGGATTACACTACCTTCAGTGCACTCCACTGCCTCAGCTGTTCTTCCTTGTTCCAGAGAAAACAAATGTGAATATATTGTAATTCATGATCTTAGCAAGGGCAGCCATCAAGCAAACAGAGAGAAATATCACAGAAGTATGCTGGTGAACCAACATATGCATCAATATCTCCTACTATTAACGACATAACTATAAACGCATTATGTTTAAATAGAATAAGCTCCCACATTCTGCACTTCATGAGGGTGATTGTTGATTAATCATCATTCTTTCCTTCAGATGCCTGTTTTTTGAAAAATGTTTTATTAAAAATCTTTTCCATGAAATCAAATTCTTTATAATTTAAGTTCTAATACATTTTTGTCAAAAGTGTTTAAACTATAAGCCCTGCCTGGCGTGGCTCAGCTGGTTGAGTGTTGTCCTGCAAAGTGAAAGGTCGCTGGTTTGATTCCTGATTAGGGCACACGCCTGAGCTGTGGCCAGGTCCCTGGTTGGGGACATATGCAAGAGGCAACCAATCGATGTTTCTCTTATACATTGATGTTTCCCTTCCTTTCTTCTTCTGTTCCCCTCTCTTTAAAAATAAATAAATAGCCCTGGCTGGTGTGGCTCAGTGAATTGAGCGCTGGCCTGCAAACTGCAAGGCTGCCGGTTTGATTCCCAGTCAGGGCACAGGCCTGGGTTGGGGGCCAGGTCCCCGGTTGGGTGTGTGTGTGAGAGGCGGCCAATTGATGTATCTCTCGCACATCGGTATTTCTCTCCCTCTCTTTTCTCCTCCCATTGTCTCTCTTTAAAAATAAATAAAATCTTAAAAAAAATAAACTATGAAATTCAAACACAACCAAAAAATATAAATAAAAAACTATTTTTGTTATGACATATTAACCTAGATTATTAATTTAGTATGTGTCGTCTCCAATTTCTATATAGACAACGTAACTCCTGATACTTAACGCACCATTAAATAGAATGGGGTAATAAGCTGCAGCATTTCTGTTGCTTAAATGTTTTATTTTATACAGCTTCTATTATACTCCATTTGTCAGAACACTGAGTAACGCTGCTTACCTATGATGACTTCTACCTTCTTGCTATCTTGACTGTCTCGATCATTATATACACGACACCAATAGGTTCCTTGATGCTCCAAATCCACATAAGGTACCTGTACCAATATTAGAAGACACACACATTTCCTCTTTAATTTTAGTTTAAATTGGCTTGGATAAGAAGTTATTTTGTATTTAAAAAACCCTACAAAACAAAACTTCAAGTGGCTTTAGAAACAGTCTTACTATTTCCATTCCCTAGGTTAAGTACTGGTCTAAGCAAATGATACAATGAATCCAATAATGGCCAGCTTGGTATAATACTGTATTTGACATTTCAGTAGAAACCCTTAGATGTGGGCTGGTGATGTTTTCCAGCACTCCTGCAAATATACAAATCAATTAATATTAAATAATAAGGACCTGAAACAAAAATACCAAAAACATGAACACACCCCCAACAAATGGGATTATTAATGTTAATCTTAATTTTCAATTATACTATTTCTTTTACATATTAGCACAAAAAAAATACCCTGGAAACCAACTTCCTACCATGTATGTCTTTTTTGTCTCGTGTGTTAACAGTGATTCATTTTTGAACCACTGGTAGTGAGGAATAGGGCTTCCAACAGCCACGCACTGCAGGACCAACGTGCTTCCTGGCATCAGCTTTTGGGACCTGGGTTCAACACATATTTGCAACTTGGCCTCAGAGGTGCCATCCGAACTTCCTTAAATTAAAAGAAAAATATCATTAAACATAAATAAAACCTATGAGTAACAAATAAATTTCCCCCCGTAATTAAAAATGTGTTTTCATGTTCATCCCTCATTTTTACAATCTTTAATAGCATCTCCCAAACGATGTTTCATAAAAACTACAGCATTTCTAGAAATATTAAGAAATGTTCTGTGGGTAAAAGAATGCTGTGGACAAATAAATTTAGAAAATTCTGGGTGAAACAAGTTAAACAGATCTTTCATTGCAGGACCTCTCAGGGCGCTGAAAGTGTTGGTGTGCACTGTGCATGTAAGAGGAGAAAAGGGTTCAGGTGGTTTCCAAATGGGTTTGGCTGCAGAATCTTGCGGGTGGGGGCAAACATCTGGAGTGATACTCCCGTTCAGCACAGAAAGCTCGACATTCTGCTTTGATTTGACTTGACTTACTTGACTTAGTAAGGAGTTTTGGTGAATAAATATGGACGGGTTATCACTAGCATTTCTTTCCAAGGCAGGTATCGGAAAGCACGACTTATGGAGCTCTCGCTGCTATTCCAGTTCCCTGAGGACAGAGGACTGGGATGCGGAACCAGGTCTCCCTCACGAGACTCAGTGTCTTGCAAGTGGAAGGTGATCAATAATATTTGTTGAATGAGTAAGATTCCATTTATAAACACGGAATTTCATTACATGCACAGAAATATTCTAGAAAGATATAAATAACTCTCTTAATTAATCATTACCATTTTTAGAAATGGTTTGCTTATTTAGGTGTACAAGGAAGAGTGTAAGACAGACTAGAAACAAAAAGCCTGTTTTCCTCCTGTTCTTTTTGGCAAAGATGACAAAGGATATGGTCGTCACAGTGTGTGTGAATAAATAAGAGAATGTGATGTCTACTCTTTAGAGTAGACTGGTTTTTATCTCCATCAATACTGGTTATTGGACTAGAAAGGTGAATGACAAATAGAAAAATTGATGAAATGCTTTATTGTAGCAAAGGATACACTATGTGCCCTTTCATGTCAATATCTCCTCTAAAGTTTTACTCCACAACACAATTTTTTTAGGAGTAATAGAGTAGTTTGGGAGGAAAATGTACAGTGTGCAAAGAAACTGAAAAGTGAGCAAGACTGTATTAGATTTTTCTCTTCCAAAACCAGACACTACAACATTCAAATCCAAGAAAGGTGGCAAGCTGGAAGAGGTCAGCGGCAGGGCCGGACTGACAAGAGTTCTGTGTCACCCAAAGGCGCGCACGCGTGTGAGTGTATCTCCATAAGGCAAAGAATCAAAGCACACGGGATAAAATCTTGAGAGCTGGTGACCTTATACTGGGCTCAACAGATAAGCAAGCTTTTGGCAATATTTTGATACTTTGAAATTACTTAAAAGTAAACCATTAAAATAAATTGAAATAAGGTAATTCCCTTCCCAACAATCACTCAGTTACTTACCCTGGAAGCTTTCTGTTAATTCTGTGACATCACAGACATCCAGCTGTGACCACTGACTGAATTCAAAGGTGCAGTTGTTATTAACTCGACAGACATAAAAGCCTGCATCTTTTACATGGACTGTGTTAAAAATAAGTTCTGATGCATTTCCGTTTGGAATCTGGGAAATAATCAGTAAGAGAATAGCAGTGACTCATCAAAACATGCTTTATAGAATGTGCTGTGCAAAATGCAGGATTTCTCTGGAGCTTTGAAAAGTGTATCTTTTTTCTAAGTTCTAAAATATTTGTTACTTAAAAAACAAATAGCATTTTGAGTAATATAGGACTGAAGTCTTATACTCTTCTACAAACCCATTAACCAAAGAGGTAATACACTCTCTCCCATGAATCTTCCCAAAACTCACTAACAACAAAGCGTCTGTTCTGCCATCTAAACTGTTCAATTGTGGGGATTAAAAGAACCCACAACGCCAGCTCTTCCGAGGTAAGCAGCCATGTGACATGACAAACACCATGGCGAGGTGGAGAATACACGCACAGTTAGGCCTGGCTACTAATCCCAGCTCTGACCAAATTTGTTGTTAGCACTTGAGCAAGTGACTGCCCCTCGAGACCGATTTTTCCTGTGTGCGATTCTGTAGGAGGACAGACTCCTCAGCCAGCACACTGCCTTCAGGGTCTGGGCAGAGCGAGGCCACAGAGCCGTATCAGCGGTGGGAAGAAACGGCCCCCGCTCTGGTCACCACGGTTTCACCTTCTGGGTTTCACCTTCGCTGCTCCCATCAATTCACCAGCACCGCCCAACCCTGCATGCTGCCAAGAGGCTCATCAGCTCCCCCGCAAAGCACTTGACCAAGCTCAGCCCTCTCTCTCCCCTCTCAGACCTGCAAGAGCAAGAGCACTTTGCTGAAGATCTGACAACTGGGACGGCAGGTTGCCCTTAGCACTGCCCGGAAGTCCTACCAGGTTGCCCTCCCAGGTTAAAAGACGGGCGGCTCTCCTATTAGGCCATTCAGGTGTATTTCTCTCTCCTCAGGCCTCCCGCAAACCTACTTCTCTCAGCCTTTGAATTCAGATAGAAACTCGCTCCTCTTCCTGCCGCCAAATCACACGTGAGTGGCTTCTTTCTTCGTAGCACCCTATTTTTCTCATAGCTCTTAACTCAAGGAACTATCTTAGGTGCATGCTGTCTGTCTGTCCCCACTGGGGATGGCTGGGCCTGTGTGTCAGCGGTTCGCTGCCATGGCCTTAGAACACGCCCGGCACAATGCACACGCTCACCAAGTACTGGCTGAATGAGTATCTCCTAAAGCGACCCACAAACATTACAGTGGTTTGATGATATTTGACTCAGACCTTTCAAGGCCATTACAGCTCTTCAAATCTAAGATGTATTCCCCATCCTTTCTCAAATCAGGACAGAATTCACGAAGAATACAGGAAGCTTTATCTGTTATTCCTCCCTCCAAAGGCATTTATTAAAATGAAAGCAACCTTGCAATTGAAACAATATGGTAAAAATAACTTTAGCTACCATGTCTTGAAAGCCTAGGCACATAGGAAACCTGTCTATTAAACGCTCACAACCCCCTACGCCAGGCGCGCACATCACTAACGACAACAGCCAGGGTTCCGACGCAGGCCTGCCCAGCGCCAAAGCCTACGTGCAGGCTTTCTGCTACCGTTCCCAGCTGCTCTGCCGACCCGCGTGCGGGGCTGGAAACTAAAAAACTGTACAAAACCACACACATCTTCCAAGGCATACGGTGACCCCATTAAAGGAAAGATCATCATCTTAGGACTCTTTATCAGTTTTAGGTTTGCAAATGTAGACCTACGGCCGAGTTTGGAAGAAAGCTTAGTTATCTGACTAACAGCCTGAAAAGAATATGGAGTTTCAAGGTCTGACCTAGGAGGGAAGGGGCCAGGGGACACAGATGGAAGAGAGAGGAAAGCCACCGTGTGCGACAAACACGGGCCAGCCAGAGCAGCGAGCACTCCCCCGTGCCACCGTGGCCGAAAGAGCTTTGAAGAAAAGAGAATGCCAATACTGTATATGGTTTTAAAGTATTTGTTGGGTGGTGCAGAGATATAGCACTTCCACAAGAGGAACATATGCCCCTCCACCCAGCTGGGTTCTACTTCAGAATCTCACAATAGCCTAAATCTTTTCATATAATACAGTTATCTGGAATTCTTAAAATAATATTGCATTAGCCCTTCATGTCTCCTTGAGAGTGTTTGAATTAAAGAACTTTTACAGATATGTTAGACTATACTGCTGAAGCTTCCTCTTTAACATTGTTGCTCCAAGTAATCCCTACTTTCCATGATTTTTAGGAAGAGAACTAATTTTATTATTGCTTACAATTTTTAAAAGACAATTTTGGAATTGTCTTACCAAAATAAGGATTATTGAATACTTCAGTAATAATACAGCAGTGTTTCTCAGATCAAGATTCCTAAAAACATATTGAGGCTAATAATGCTAATTCATTTCCTATCATTCTACCTTCTTATGACAGAGGAACTTAAAAGACATTTTAAAAATTACCTCTTTGTTCATTTTGAACCATTGATATTGTACAAAAGGATGTCCCGTTGCCCGGCAACACAGTTTCACAAACTGTCCAGCCAAGACTGCCTTTGATTCGGGGTTTACGGTGATCTTTATTCCTTAAAAAAAAAAAAAAGGACAAAGAAAAACAAAGTTAACTAAATACAGTCACAGAAGAGCTTTCCTTGTTTATGTTCCTGGAACAAACAAAAAAAGTCGTATTTTGGAAATAACCTGCATATTCATCCTTGTTATAAACCGCCCACTCAGACCTCTTTCCCTACCAGGTTATGAGTTTGTGAAGTTCCAGGCTTTGTAAAACCAGGAGGAAAGAAACTCGCCTGCAGAAGACTTTGATCTGTTGTGCTTCCCACAACTGGGGGAGAAAATTGTTTGTCATACTTCTTCAGTTCTTAGAAGTATTTTTTTCCGCATTCTGACAGGTGTGAAATCAGGATGCACCTCACAACGGATGCCTCCCGGCAGCAGCCACGGCGGAGCGGGTGCTCAGGGCCGGCCCGTCTGCTCCGAGGTGACCGCGCTGTTGGTCACACAAGCGTGCGGTTGAAATAAGTACAAATGTCTACAAAAGACATCTGAATTTCAATGCTATGATTTAGTATTAAAATGAAAATTATTCTGTAAGCAGAAAGGCGCAGAACCAGAACGGCAGGATGTAAGTTTGATACACGTGGAACATTTCTCATTTGAGAAATGACTATCAGCAAGGAAACTTGGAAACCGTTTGATATGAGCTTCAGAGGAAATCCTGGAGTCAATGATGAAAAAGATCCCCCCACCCCCGCCTCTCCCTCACTCACTGCCTCTGGAGAGGCCGGCTGCCATGGCGCAGGGACCCGGGGCAGCCCTGCGGGCGGGCGGGCCCGACGGTGAGGAAAGAAACTCGGGCCTCCTGCCAGCAGCCACCGACAACAGGGAGTTTCCACACCCGGCCGAATCGGCAGGCGGCTGCAGCCCTGGTCGCCGGCTTGACTGCCATCACGTTAGAGGCCAAAGCGTGAGCCCACACCACCCCGCAAAGCCACTTCTGGATTCCTATCCTCAGAAACCGTATGAGGTAATAAATGGCTGGCGTTTCAAGCTGTTGGTTTTGGGGTAATTTGTTACGCAACAAGAGACAACTGGCCCAAAGGAAACCCAAGTTAGAGAATTTTACATGTGCCAAGGTTATAACACATAGCACTGGGTTGGTGGCCTTTCAGGAAGGAAGGAGAAAAGATCATTAAAACGTATAGAACTTAATTTCCTGAACCTACTTTTCTTTTCTTCTCTATTCTGAATGTGATCTCTTAAAAGTATCTTTTTCCTCTCAACCATCAATCCAAAGGAAGAAAACAAGATTACACGGAAGAGGAGTGTCCAAATAATAGCAATCTTAATTTGTCAAAGGCACCAAACTTTCTAGGGAAAAAAATAATAGGGTAAAATTAGGTATGTGAAATCCATGACAGAAAGATACCAAATAAAACCAAAATCCAAGCCCTGACCAGTGTGGTTCAGCTGGTTGGGAGCTGTCCTGCAAAGCCAAAGGTCCTGGGTTTGATTCCTGGGCAGGGCACATGCCTAGGTTGTGGGTTAAATCCGCAGTCGGGGCACAGACCAGAGGCAACCGATTGATGTTTCTCTCTCACATCTTTGCTTCTTTCCCTCTCTTTCTCCACTCCCTCCCCCCAAAAAAATCCAAGATAAGTAAATATTTCAGTGTCCAGGGAAACCCTAGAAAATCTTTAGTAAATAGAGTAGAATCTCTCAAAAAAGAATTTAAAACCCTTGCAAAGGGAGAGCTTTCATATTCATTAGTTCTTTACGTTGATGCCAAGTTAGCAAAGGTGGATGAAGTAATAGTTTCTCTGAGTTCTGTCAAACAAGTTGGTAGACTGTACCTTGTGAAGTCAGAAAAAGGGATGAGCATTCTTGCCTAAGCCAGCAAATTCACAACAGCGTATTTTAGTGCCAGGAGAGCCTTATATCACACCTTTAAGATACAAAGATGCTGACTTTTAAAGTTGAGGTGTGATAGGAGGAAATAAAGTTTGTAACAATAGAAGGGAACAAACATGAATATGAAAAATATAGGAGCCGTGGCTAAGCTGGCTTTAAAATGTGGATGTCTGATGGCTACCTCAGACCTGACGTGTCCCCCGCCCCCCCGAACAAAGTCTACGCCTCTACGAGACCCTGCGGTCTCGCCGCCTCTGAGAAGAGAAACCGGTTTCCAGCCTGCCCCCTGGGTCCTGTTACTCAGGACAAAAAGCCAGCAGTTGCCCCCAAATCCCCCCTTCTCACTCCCTCACCCCACACGGAATTTGTCTTCGAGGCCTGTCAGTGCAGCTGTTCCGCGTCTCATCGTCCTCAGTGTCATGATCGCGGAGCCACCACCAGCTCCTGACTGAAGCATAAGCGTGGCCTGCCACCTTGTTTCCTCGCTTCCAACCAGCAGCCCAACGTCTTTTTGAAACATAGATGAATCCATCTCACTCCTCCGATTAAAGCCCTCCCCTTGCGCGCACTTGGGAAAATCCACACTCCTGACCACGCCCACGAGGGTCCGCGAGGGCCAGCGCTGGGCCCGGGCCCTGCCCCCTCCTCCTTGCTCGCCGTGCTCCAGGCGCTACCGTCCTCTTTCCCCCAGGAGACAGGTGTTTTCTGCCTTCCCCCGCCCCGGCCCCGCACCAGATTTCCCTCTCAGCCCCCCACCCTCTCACGGCAGAGCCTCCAGCTTCTTTGGGACCCGTCCCTAAACGAGCTCCTCCTCCATCCTGGTTCTCTGTTGCTTCCACCCTGCTTTGTGGTCTTGCTTGATCACACTATCCACCTGAAACCCCTGTTGTTTATTGCCTGTCTCATCTACTAAAGCAGAAGCTTCATGAGAGCAATGACCTTGTTTTTCTTAGTCATGAGTTTACTGGAACAATGCCTGGCATATGGTGATACAGTGGGTGTTCAACACCTATTTGTGAATAAATGTATAATAAGAATAATTACTGTAGCAGCAATTTCCCGACTGCTTTGTATGTGCCAGGCATTCTGATCTCTCACCTTCAAAATAACCGAATGAGTTAAATACTGATTAGATCTACGTTACAATGAAGAAAATGAAGTTAAGCTCTGACTGCTGTGGCTCAGTTGGTTGAGGGTTGTCCCACAAAGCCGAAGGTCGCCGTTCTGATTCCCGGTCAGGGCACATGCCTGAGTTGTGGGTCTGGTCCCTGGTCACGGCCTGTGTGATAGGCAACTGATGGATGCTTTTCTCTCCCATTGATGTTTCTGTCCCTCTCTTTCTCCCTACCTTTCTCTCTCTCTAAAATAAATAAATAAAATCTTAAAAAAAAAAAAAGAAAATGAAGTAATTTGGTCATCCAAATTAACTGGGGTAAATTATTTAACCTCTCTGAAATTAATTTTTTTTCATAGCAAAAATGGCAGAACCAGCATACAAATACAGGTTTTCTTAGACTTGAAAATCCTAAAACTTTTGCCCTGGCTGGGTAGCTACATTGGTTGGAGCATCATCCTATACGCCAAAAGGCTGAGTGTTTGATTACCAGTTAGGGCACACACCTAGGTCGCAGGTTTGTCCCCCAGTGAGGGCACCTACAGGAGACAACCAATTGACGTTTCTTCCCCACCTTCCCTTCCCCAAATCAATGAACAAGTCCTCGGGTGAGGATTTAAAAATTATCATAAGAAATAAAATTCTCAGACTTTTCTTATCCCAGTGCCTCTTTTTTTCCTTCCAACTTTATTGAGGCATAATTGACAAATAAACATTTCATATATTTAGTGTGTACAACATGATTTAATATACATACACAAGTGAAATGATTACCACAATCAAGTTAATTAACACCTCCACCACCTCACAGGGTTATTATCTTCCCTTGGTGACTGTCCTTCCCTTGGTGACTGTCGAAGCACCTCCAGTGCTAATCCCGTGGTCTGCGCTAATCCCATATTCTGCGCTAATCCCATCTTCTGCAGCAGCAAGCTCCTCCCACTGAAGGGAGTGTGTCAGGCAGCCTGCAATCTCTCGCATTGTGACAGTGCTTATGAATTTACCAAGGCGAATATGCTCTGCTATGATTCAAAGAGAACAGAGACAAGAACATTGAAATGAAAAGGCTTTCTCCCTAGAGTGTTTTAAAAGGAATGCATGACTTTAGTGGCAAGGGCCCACAGGGCCAGAAGGTTCTAAAAGGTATCCTTCCCTTGTGTGGGAGACAAGACTAAATGATTTTTTTTTAAGGTTTCATTTACTCATTTCTAGAGAGAGGGGAAGGGAGGGAGAAAGAGAGGGAGAGAAACATTGATGTGCAAGAGAAACACTGATTGGTTGCTTCTCGCCGGGCCCAACCAGGGACCTGGCCTGCAACCCAGCCAGGCATGTGCCCTGACTGGGAATTAAACCCGCAAACCTTCGGTTTGCAGGCTGGCGCTCAACCCACTGAGCCACACCAGCTGGTGCTAAATGATTTTTAATATACATGCAAACTCAAAATTTATACGCCTGTCCTGTACCAACAATTTAATAGTCTAGTCTTCAATAAGGAAGCAAATACATGTATGTATTATTTACTACTTCAACAACTGAGAATTGAAAGGAAAAATGTGATTTGGAAACCAACCCTGGTGAGTAGTAGAGAAGTCACAATACCTCCCGTGTTTTAACCGCTCATGCTTCCTTCCTCCCACGTAGCATTGTGTGACGGGGAACCGTGGCCAACCTTTAACCACGCTCATAGCGCCCACTGGCCAGAGATGCTGAACAAAGGTAAGGAAAGGAGATGGCCCAGAGCTATGGAGGGTGCACTGAGGCACACAAATGAAAGTTCTGTTTTGAAGGGTGAATGCAGAGCTTCCTGACAAACAGGTCTATTTTCAGATAACATCTGCAGAGAAGTCAAAGAGGTTACTCGATTTCCTGTAAGCCGGGGAGAATCTGACAAGGTACGATGGAACACAAGGACTGTGCTTTCCACACACAGCATAGCAGACAGGTTAGGGTGATTCCTGACTTGACAGAAGGGCTCAGCATAGTTTGCCTTTAAGTTACTCTCTCTCACAATGCACTTAAATATTGATGTAATTTATAAATGGCTTTTCCAGGAACAGAGCGATTGTATCCATTATAATGCATCTATTTTCAGAGGCCATGAACCAAAAAAAAAAAAAAATTCCATCACTTTCCATCTAAAACTCTTAGTCAAAGTTATTGTGATAATTTCTAAGCTCTCATGGGAGAGTGCCCCGCAGTGCCCCAGAATGAATACCCATTCCTCTCCTCAAACAGTCTCCCTCCATCACATGACTGGAGTATGTCCATGTACGTCATCTTACAAGCCAATTGACAGCAGCACCTAATGTGGCTAACGTCCCAGTGACCCTGAACACCCCCGGGTGGAGATACACTTTTCAGATCTCATTTACTTCTCCCTTTCTATCTCTTCCTTCTTCCTTATCCTTGTTCCCATCCATTCCACCTTTGCCTCTTTTCACTGCTTGATATTTTTCCTTTCGAAAATTTCTGCTGCTCATGAAGTAAGAAAAGTCCCTTATAAGTTAAGATCCAGTATTTGAGTATTTTAATTTGGCACAAAGAAAAAAAATTGAAGTCCATGGATCAAAGAGGCAACTAAGGTCATAATCACTAACTAAGTTCCCCAAACCACCCAGAAATTTCCCTGCATTATGGAAATGACATTGTGTGCTGGTCAGGGCCAGCAGACCTGGCCTCTCACCTACCTTTGTCAATAACTGTGATGCTAGCCAAATGAAAACTTCCAGAAATCTCATGTTCCACATAACTGTTTGCTCACATTTAAAATTTAAATGTTCTTAATAGTACTCTTCTGAAGGTACAATGTGAAGGACAAGCTGGCCTACCCACGTGCAGTGGAAATGCCCAATGAGAGAGAAAGCAGAAGAGGGTAAAACCTCAGTCCCGTGGCGGGTGCTCCCTCAGAAAATACAGCAGGTGTGAGAGCCCACAGCGGCAAGACTCCTGGGGGAGCGGCCAGGGCTCAGGCCTCCTGGTGAGCGAGGGGCCACTGGAGTCAGCTCCCAGCCACGGCACAGGCGGCAGGCAGGGGTCGGGGCGCCGCCCCAGCTGCTCCTGGACTCCCCACACCAAGGCAGACAAGGAGCTTGGCCGCGTTCTCAAAGCAGAGGGACGGATCCCGCAGCCAGCGCCTTGGCGATCCCTGGCGGCCTTCCACGAATCACCGGCATGGAGCGCGGCAAAGTGGGACTGAGAGAAGTTGAGCGCTTCCTCTCCTCCCTGCATTTAGGGCTGGAAGGTCTGTTCTCAGGCTCACAGCATCTTTGACAGCCAACTTACCCAAAACAGACCTCTCTACACAGATAATCAGAGAAAGATCATTGGACTGCCTGTGAATTAAGAACTAACGTTCTCCTATGAAACTGCGGTACTTCAAAAAAAAAAGAGAGAAAACAGTATTTCTAGTTTGTATTTTCATCAAGGTTCAGGAATACACTGCAAAAGAAAACCTGGAGATCAGATAAAACTTTCTGTACTTGTCTTTATGATTATACCAGACAGGATCATTTACAGGCTTGTCTGCCTTACTGGACTGAACTTCCGGCAGGCAGGAGCACTCTTGCAGTTATCTCTGACTTCTCGGTACACAGTGCCCAGCACAGCAAGGGTACGGGAATACAGTAAGTGTTTACTGAATGAATGAACAAAATCCCAAATTAAGTTGATTCTATCAGAGCTTCCATTTTTAATATAATTCCAGTAGTTTTTCTCATCATTATCCTTATTAAAGTATTAAAATTCTCTACAATTATTTTTTAAAAGATTTTATTTATTTATTTATTTATTTTTAGAGAGAGGAGGAGGGAGGTAGAGAGGGAGAGAAACATCAATGTGTGGTTGCCTCTCACGTGCCCCCTCACTGGGGACCCGGCCTGCAACCCAGGCATGTGCCCTGATTGGGAATCAAACCAGCGACCCTTTGTTTCCCAGATTGGTGCTCAATCCACTGAGCCATACCAGCCAGGGCCAATTCTTATATTTCTTTGTTGAAATATCTGTAAATTAAGGGTTTTAGGTTATCCACAAAAGATGTAAATAGAAAGCTAACAGTAAACTATTTCTTCCTAAAATTACTGAGCTTTGTCAGATCCCAAAATATTTCCTCTTAAAGCAATAATTAACGTTTAAGTAATAACTGATTCCTAATCGACTATGGCTAATATGACCTAAAACTTCCCAGGAACAGGCATAATGGTCGTATAGAAACTGCACTCCTTGTCCTGTTCTCACCTCAAATGTGAAAAAGTCCCAGGGGGTAGGCAACTTCCAAATATCAGAATGATCTGCACAGGAGAACAATGAACAGTAAAGTGCTAATCCTACCATGTGGAGAAAAATACAAAAAGCAAAAATAAACTTTTCAGAAAAAAAAAAGATTACTGATATTTATTATAGCCTGGTACTGTATTCATTGCTGACTTGTCAAAAATTAAACCACATTGTTTAAAATTTCAGGCTACACAGAAATACACACGTGGCCCAACTGCAGTCAAGCCCAGTCTTGTACATGGGAAACTGTGAGAAACTGGAAACTGCAGATCTCAGGGCAGCCCTCACTCTACCGATCATGAGATGTGAGGCCTCTCTTGTCTAAATGCGACTCAGCACGGCATTAGTTCACGTAACTCCTGCAACTCCGCGATGCAGGGCACACTGACGCTCAGTTTACAGATGTGATGACCAGTGGGCAGAGTAATTCAGTGTAATTATTGGAGAAGAATAAGATATAAAATTACATTTACTTCCTGGAGAGGTTCCTAAGTTGTCAGAGGCCCTGGCACTCCTTGAAGTATGAGAACTTAGCAGCTAACAGAGCACCCCAGACTGGAAGACTTTAATCATTGCAACCACTGGGTTCTATTCTAGGCTCTGAGGGATATAAAAATGGATAAAGATCACCTTAAGGGAAGGTTTACTGACTGGAGACAGACAACAGTTTTATGTAGACGGGATCTGCATGAGCAGCTAGTGGTTCCTACCCCATACCTCTCGGTACGAGGAGGCAACGAGGAGCATATAGGTCAAGCAGCCAGTACGGTGCAGAACACAAAGGAGGCATTTATAGGAGGCCTATTTTATCATCTACATTAGGCCTTGTAAAGTAGAAGATAACCTGTAAGTCCCGGATTGCTGACTCATAACCCAGGGTCGTTTCCATTTGTAGCAGACTTTTTAGTTCCCTCCCCAGTGTCTGTGGCCTCCTCGCTCCTTCCAACAGGCCACTTTTGCTTGGTGGGCCATGTGTAGATTCTGTTTGGTGTGGTTTCTAGAAGGCCGGCTCAACCCAACAGCTACTCCTGGCTTTGAGCCAGGCAAATCAGCACATTCCATCTCCCTGGCCACAGGAACGGGTGGAGGGAGAGGCACGAAGGGACAAAATTAGTTAATTAAAGTGAATCTTATGATTTTTGCTGGACAGAGATGAACGCAAAAGCAGCCAGTAGATACCTTGTGCCTACGAAGAAAGTCGGTGTCGGGGGAAGCCAGTGTAAGGAAAGGAAGAGCAAAGATGAAGATAAACCAACACCTTGCAAACAAGGCTGATCCCTGCCTCCTGTCTTGAAGCCCAACCTGCTTCAAGACTTTTCAGTTAGAAGAGCCAACATGCTCCCTTTGTGATGCCAACTGGCGTCGGGGTTTCTGGTCCATGTGGTTGATAGCACGCCACCGTCATGTGCCCTCATTCCCCAACCCCAGAACAGATACAGTAAAAACTTAAACATATTATCACAAACAAGTTTGTTGTCGAATAAAATCAAAGGCACGTGCGACAGAGAGCACTCAGTCCATGGCTGCTTCGCTTCTAGCGGGGCCTGTAATGACCGACTGGATGCCCGCCCTGGAAAGAGGTCCGCGCGCTGCTACCGCCGCCAGATGCCTGAGATGACTTGGTCCCTCCTGCCTGACACTATTGCAGCTGACCGACTCTATCCGCAGAGGTGGGCAGCAGGGACCGTTTCCTATTCCTCATATCTCACTTTGGAAGTGAGAAACCGCACTCAACACTGATACAGTCAGGAAAAAAATCACATCCAGTCAATGAACATTTCAAAAGCATCGTGCTGGCAAAAAACTTTAAACAATAAATATTTGGCATATCTGTTTGACTCCATTCATGTACATACATATGAAGAAATGTACGTGTGTGTGTGTGTGTGTATTTTTTTTTGGTGGCTATACTATTTCAACAGAAGTCACAGAAACCTTACCCCTAAATACTTCAGCATGAATCTCCTTGGAATAAAGACAGTCTTCTATAGAAGAACAATACCATTATCATATAATTCTGTAATATCTAACTCACAGGTTATATTTAAATTGTTCTACTTGTCCCAAAATGTCTTAAATAGCAGGTTTTTTAAACCACACTCCAATCAATGTTTATGCATTGTATTTGCTTTTTGTATGTTCTTTATCTGCGTCAGCCCTGGGAAAAATGAAGGCTCCCTACATTTACCTTTTCCAAAAACATTTAACACAAGTCATCCAGTCAAATGCGCTGGTTTCCTCCTGTGTGCCTCCGCGAACTCCCGGGGAACACAGCCGGGGCCACCTACCTGGGGGGCTGAGAAGCTGGAGGGCCTCGGTGTGCTCCAGGGCCTGCAGGAAGTCGCTCAGCTCCGCCACGGTGCAGCCCTTCTCACCCAGGAGCCTCAGGAGACACAGGCTGGGGCTTCCTTCCGGCTCCAAGACCTTAAGGGAGCACTGCTCCAAGTCCAGGCAACTGAAAAAGACAGATTTCATTCAGGTTAGCAACTTTCCTCAATGTAGCATGCCCGCTCCGCGTTTGGCACCAGAGGTGGTGTAGGAAATAGACTGCAAGGTGCTGAGTGGCAGAAAACTATTTATGTTACAAATGCTACTGTCTTTTCTTCCTCCTCCTGCCACCACAGGGGAGTCCTCCTCATTCCTACATCCAGCTCAGCTCCCGTGAGAACAAGAGAACGCTGGAAGTTTCATGTGCGAGAAATGCGGCCTTGATTTTGATCAACATTTTTACCGTTATCTTGGGGATAGGGAGATGAGATACGTTTCTCTACTCTTTCTTGTACTTATATAAAATGTAAGTACAAGAGGCATGCATCTCTGACATACTGAAAAACAAAAAAATTAACATACAGTATTTTGTATGATCAAAGTACTGTGTCTATGTGGGTATTTGCATGAGGAAAGCAAGCTACGAAACAGTGTATGTTCTGTAAGATACCATTTTTATTAGCAAGTTCTTATCTATGTGGAGTAACTTTGCAAAGATGGCCAGGAACCCGTGGCAGTGGCTGCCCTGCAGAGGGACGAGGCCAGAGCCCATGGGGAGCAGGGCGCGTGGCTGGATGGTGCACTTTTCACTACAAAGCTTTTTGTACTATTGAATTTTTACTATGTGTACTCATATTTTCTATAATTACAAAAAAATAAAATAAAAAGACAATACTAGTGACATTCAAAGGACTTGTAAGTGCTCAGAAATACCCTTGCACATGGAGCAGGCACCCTATGGTCTGCGGGCTCACCCTGCCCAGTCACCAGATTTTGTAAATAGTTTGAGTGGAACACAGCCAGACTCATTAATTTACGTCTTTACAAATGTATATGGCTGCTTTCCTATTACAATGGCACAGGTGAGCAGTTTGTCTGCAAAGCTGAAAATATTTACTGTTTAGTTCTTTACAGAAAAGTCTGCTATCCTCTGCTCAAAGGAATCTGTGTTGAAACTATTCTTTTTTCATACCGGTATTTAACAGACATGTACAATGTCCTTTTCAATGCTACTGTGTTCAGTAGTGGTGTACAAGGTCAGAAAGACAGGCTGAGATCAGACTGCAGGAGGCCATCAATTATGTGACAGGGATTATAGATTTCAATCATTTCACAGGAAAGGCAAATACAAGTAACAAACATTCAAGAGAAGGAAAAACAATGAGGAAAAATCAAACAATCAAAATAAAACAAAAAAACTTTACAAAGAGACATAACAACAAAGGTGACAAAGCCTTTAGGTAACTTCCGTGATATGCTGTCGAATTTGCACCTCATAAACGTCTGCAGGCACCCCTTCCTTTCTGCCAGTCTGAACTACAGACCAACATAAACCCTTGCTTCTCCCAGACCACACCAGCCCTTCAATCACACTTCAGACACAGTTTCCCAGTGGTGTTTATCTTATATTCCACGGGCTGGCAAACTTTTCCTTAAACTGCTGGAGAGTAAATATTTTAGGCTCTATGGGCAATAGAGTCTCTATCACACAGTCTTCCTTCTTGTGTGTTTTGTTTAACAATTTTTTAAATATAAAAACCATTCTTAGCTCATTAGCTACACAAAACCAGGCAGTGGCCAGAATTTGTCCCACAGGCCACTGTTTACAGATCCCTGATCTACAAGTTTAATTTCCCATGATTCTGTCTTAAAACCATGAGCTTTTCTTTCATAAGCATGTATTAACTAGATTACAGTACTCCTTGAAACCAGAAACCCCATCATATATATACATTACATATATATTTAATCCCTCAATACCTAATATCTGTCTTGCTCATATTAATTATTCAAAATTAAATGGTTACTGAGTGAATTTCAATCATAACTAAAAAGCCTGGACGCCTGAATAGGTGATCGAATATAATTGTACCACAGCTGTGTTTGGCAAGCTTTCTTATGACTTGAAATAGTCTTAATCCACATTCATTTTGATCAGTTTTATTAAAAGGATGTCATAGCATTTATTTAAAGGTCACTCAAGATTTATAATTCTGTGATAAAGTTAGTTCCCTCATAAAAAACATATCCAACCAAAATAACTTCAATAGTAGTATCATTTATCTCATAGGATTGTTAGTCTTAAATTAGATAATCCATGTAGAAAGAACTTAGCACACGGCTTGGCAAATAATAAGTACTCAATAAATAGTCCTATTATGCAATAAAAGTATGGGCGTATCAAAAGAATATTAAGGATAGTTTCTTATGTTCATTTCTGGAACTGTTCTAGTTTTACCTTAAAAGTCTTTTGAGTAGCTACTATTTTGGTAACCTGATACTGTCCTCCAATGTTTCCTCTCACTGTATTTATTAACTAGGTGTTTCTTTCTAAGGATCCTTGTTATAGTTATATATCCAGAACTCCTGTTAAGTGTGAATCTTCATAACATATAAATCATCCATTCCCAAATTCCACACTGCAGACCAGGGGCAGCACAATCTGAAGTCCGTGGTAAGATGGTGAAAATAAGGACAAGACTGTCTTTACCCAAAGATTGTCTTTTCTATACTTTTGAGTGTTAAAGTGTCTTTTCTTTTACGAAATAACGGTGAATACAATGGTTGCAAAAACAGAAGCTGACAGAAGACGCCTGTTGGTCCTTTATTGTAAAAATGTCTATTACTAGTCCTCATAACAGCCAGGTCAAGGAACCAGTATTCGAAACAACATAAGAATTACAAATCTTTCAAATAATGAGAATAGGAGATTTATAAAAACAAAGATGCTGTATGCTCAGTATAGTTTTTATGATTCAGAAAGGTTATCAGGATCTGGTACCTGAAATTAAGAAGCCATCTCAGCAAATGCAACCAAGTGATTCTTTAATTAATGTTTATGCTGATATAGAGAAAATTAAAAACAATTTTTTTCTCTTTAAAATAAATAAAGATCAAGTTGAAGTAGACAATGCTTTCTGCTCCAAAACAGGAGGCACAGGAGAAAAACAAATTTCTCTGTCTCCTTTCCTTTTACTAAGTTTCCACATGAGCACCTGCTTTCAGCTAAGGTGATGCTAATGTGTACCGACTTTTATTTCTTTTTTAGTTACATTCCTGTAAGACTGTGCTTTGAAGTGGTTTCCACCAGCCCTAATTTGGAATTTCTGATTTAAATTAAAAGACTCTTACTGAACAAAATGGACTTTGCTTTAAAAAAAAGTATCTATACTTATCTTTATGTTTAAAAGTATATAATCAAATAAAACATATCATTCATCTTTTAGGGTACAAACTATGGCACTGTTTGTAGGCTCTTTTACTTCTCTTTTTGATACACTTACTCTTTGGAATATTTATTAAGTCAACAACTATTTACTAATCACACAAAATAGGCCAGCCTTTTCCCCTATCTTTGAGGATACATTGTATAGCAGCAAACCAAGCAAAATTCCTTATCCTCCTGAATTTTTCTACAGGAGAACACACACACACAGATTTCTCTCTCTCTCCCTGTATATCCATCCATCCAACAGTGACTGACGCTATGGAGAAAAACAAAGCGAAGCAAAGGGAGAGACAGGCAACGTTAGAGCAGAGAGTAGATGAAGGGGGTAATTTTAAATGTTATCAGAGTAGAACTCATTGAGAAGGTGACTTTTTAACTGATTTTAGAGGAGAGAGAAACATCGATTTGTTGTTCTACTTATTTCTGCATTCATTGGTTGTTTCTTATATGTGCCCTGACCAGGGACCGAACCTGCAACCTTGGTGGAGAGGGACACGGCTCTAACCAGCTGAGCTACCTGGCCAGGGCCGAGAGGGTGACTTTTAAGCAAACATTTGAAGGGGTGAAGGAGCAAGTCACGAGGTCCATCTGTGCAGACCAACTCAGGCTGAGTCAACGGCAGGACAAAGACACTACAATCTCTATGGAGAACCCAGAAAGCAGGTTTGGACAAGAGTAGAGAAAGGGAGGGAGACAATATAGGATATCAGGTCCGAAAGTTAAATGTTAGCTAAATGGGTTTTTACCCTGTGTTGTGAGCAGAGGAAGGCTAAGACTGATTTCATGTGTTAAAAGAATCGTTCTGACTGATGTACTGAGAACAGACGGGGGGCGGGCAGAGCAGGAGAAGCTGGGCAGCTACTGGGGCAGTCAGGGGAGAGAGAATGTGGCTTGCCCTGGTGTTGTGGCCACGGAGGTTGGATTCCGGAGCTGCACAGCAGAGACAGCAGGCAAGGTGTGTGAGAAAAGGGATGTGGCGTGCACATGCGGAGTCAGGAAAAACTCAGGCCCCAGCAAAAGGAAGGATGTAGTGGCCACTGACCGAGATACAAAAAACTGCAAGAGAAAGAGGCTTATGTTAGATTTTGGACACAGTCATGTTTAAGATGTCTATGAGTCATTCCAGAGGAGAAGGCAAATAGGCTTCCAACAAAATGAATGGGGACTTTAAAACAAAGGTATGGATTTAAGATATGAACTGAGAGTAATCAACCTAAACATATGCGAAGTCAGGAGATGCAAGGATAACACCAACAAGGGGGCTAGGTGAAGTGTGGATGAAGAGCCAGGAAGCCTGAGCCCTAAGGCTCTCCAAAATCGGCAGAGATAGAGAAGGAAGAGGTAGAGGCCGGAGGAAGGTTTTCACAGTTGTTCCTCTTCCTGTCACAGACCCCCTGAGTGCAGATTTCTGCAGCCACGGGAGCACCTGCCAGGCAGCAGGTACGCAGCGGCTGCCGGAGTTTCCTTGGTCCACTTGGTCCACAGTCTAAGTGTCCTCCAAGGATTTCAGGCAGCCATTGGTGCGTCCAGAAAGCTCCGTAGTCTCTGGGGCCCCCATGTTCTATGCAACCGTAGAACTTATGTAGCTTGTGCAGGACCCTCAGAACCTATGCCTATTTATATGCACAGCAAGGAGCATTCAGTATCAGCTGAGCCTGGAATGGAATTAGGCTTGAATTTGCATTTAGGGTATTCCCCATATGTACATGGTTGAGGGAAACTAAACGACTATACTGCAAGGATTTATTCTAAGCCATCAATAAGCATCTGAAAACATTTACAATGATTCCAAATTCCTGATGGACAGTTCAGAACAGATGCTTGTGGTTTATTCTCATCTAGTTTGAGGAAGGCTATAGAGTCAGAAACAAATGAAAAGAACCAGAATAGACAACCTTTTGAGTTTGTGAGGTTTTAGGGCCATGAAACCAGAGACTCAGAGAAAAGCACCTCACATTTTCCTGGGAACTGTTACCCACTTGGACTCTCACGCTACAATTCCTAGGTTTGCCTCAAAGAAAAATACCTGCAGGGCCTCTGCTATTAGAGGCGCTCTTCTGCCATTACTATGCAATGACTTTAAAATAATTTTTTGGTCTTAAATAGAGTAAGCATCACCAGCCTACCTTGCCCCTTCACCTGTCACTCTGTGTTCCCAGCACTCACCTTTCGTTCTATTAGTTTAATTCTGACTTCAACAGGCACGTGAACTTAATGATCTCCAATTCTCTAACCTTCAGGATGCCCTGACGCTCCTCACCACAACTAACCTGCTCTGCACTAACCTTCAGCACCCTAATGTCGTCTCTTACCAGACTTCCTGCCCTGAAGTTCCCAGATTCCAAACATGCATGCCCTTCGTTGCTTGTCACCCCTTCTTGGTGACTGCCCTTTCCTCTATATCGACTTCACCAGGTAGTATAGAAAGCTACCACCATTCTGGAGCCTTTAACAGCACTTGACCGGAGGCTTAGGGAGGAACACTGAATGCTTGATGTCAGGTGCCCGCTGCTTTTAGCGCCCATTGGCCAGGCTTTCACAGTGGCAGGGCCTCACTCCCTCCTCTCTGCTTCCTCGCCAACCAGGAGCCCGCCTCAGGAAAGTCCAAAGCCTAGAGTACTGGATAATATCACAGATTAACCCATCTCAGATCTGGTGATCTGACCCCCAAAGAAGGCAACGGTTTCCATCACTGTAAGTCTAGAGATTCTGAAATCTATGGACCTAGAATAATAGTATTTTGGACTTTCTTTGCATAGCAGAGTGAAAAAAAAATATGCCGCCTGTCTGCTCAACTTTGCGAGCTTTTCCACTTCTTAATTCTGTCCTCTTATTGTGGCTCCTATGTATGGCCAGCTAATCCCAAATCATTACAACTCTGGCTTAACCGAAACTCTCAAACTTAAGGTTTAAGGGGTAAAGTAGATAATGCATGTAAACACATAGTACATAGGTATATGCTAAGTGGTTAATAAATGATAAAAACTTGTCATTATTTTCCACAACCAACATAGCATTTAGCGTTTATTTGTGAATGTTCCAGAGTGACAGTCCATTACTAAGCCATTATTAACAGGAGCTAAATACTTGTCATCCTTTTATATTCTGGAACTTCTAGCAAATAATAGGCACTTAGTAAATATAATTTTGAATGACTATCTCGCCTCTTTTTTTTTTTTTTAAGATTTTATTTATTTTTCGAGAGAGGGGAAAGGAGGGAGAGAGGGAGAGGGACATGATGTATGAGAGAAATAGCAATCAGTTGCCTCTCATGCCCCCAACTAGGGACCTGGCCTGCAACCCAGGCATGTGCCCTGATGGGGAATCAAACCTGCAACCTTTCAGTCCGCAGTCCAATGCTCAATCCATTGAGCCACACCAGCTAGGGCTGAGTATCTCTCCTCTTCATTCCAAAGTATTTAGAGTGTATAAGATAGGTTCTATGCATGATACATAGAATCTTAAGTAATAATTCCTGTCCTCAAGGAGTTTATAAAGAAGTACATAAATAACATATAGTATAAGACAAAGTTTAGTGATATGAGAAGTTAAAAAGAACTGCAAAAGGAAACCCAAATCGTAACAATGGTAAAGAGCAGTGGTTCTAAGTGTGATCTGGGAACCCCTTGTGCAGGTCTTGAGACCCTTTCATGAGATCCACAAGGTCCACATGATTTTTCAAAATAACGCTAAGATGTTATCTTTTTCATTCATTCTCTCGAGGAGTGTTCACTGGAGTATCTGGTGTTACATGTCCTGCGATAGTGCAGCAGACTGAATGAATGCAGAAGCACAGAAAAGAAGCCAGCTCTCTGCAATGGAGCCAAGGCGGGAAGATGTGCAAAATGGGAAACAATGCGCCTTTGCTAATTTTTTTGTTTTCGAGAAGCTCATTTTTCCACAAAAACATGTTATTTCTGTTAACATGCAATGTGTTATTCTTTTAAAATAGGCTAATACTTTAAAAATGCCATAGTTTTAATTTCTAACATGGCAAATATCAGTCTATACTGTATGTATGTAATATATAGAAACCACAGAAAAAGCTCACTGGGATCCTCAAAAATTCTTCAGAGTTTTGCATGGGCGTCCAACCTGTGGCCTGCCGGCCCCATGCAGCCCAGGATGGCTATAAATGCAGCCCAACACAAAATCATAAACTTACTTAAAACATTATGGGACTTTTTTTGGTGATTACATGTGGCAATGTATTTAATGTGTAGCCCAAGACAATTCTTCCAGGGTGGCCCTGGGACGCCAAAAGGTTGGACACCCCTGGAAGAAATCCTGAGACGGAAAGTTCAAGAACCACCAGTGCAGCGGTTCCAAGAAGCCTGGTCACAGGAAAAGAGTTTCACCTCCCGTTTACTGTTCATGGTGAAGTCAAGAAGCCAGCTTGGTGAGCTGGTTGATGGAGGAAGATGGTGAGTTTAGCTTCAGTCTTTCCCACCATCCTGCCCTCCCCACAGAAAAAGCTTCATCATGACCTCCTGCACCCCAAACCCCTCCCTCTCGTTCTCTTTTTACCAGCACTTCTCCCTAACCTTCCTGAGGTCTCCCAGGCCTGTGTCCATATCCCGTAGGTTTGCATTTTAAGTCCTTCGGAACTCCCCTATCACAATGGTCCCCAGAGAGTCTTCCTGCTCTCAATATCCTCCTCCGTCAACCTCCACTTCTCTTTCTCAGCCCAAGGAGAGGACAGGAGGGAAAGGGTGCCACCCCCGGGGTCCAATCTCGAATCTCTCACACGTCCAGCACTTTCCTGGGTTAAAGCTGTCCCTGTGCAAGGTTAACCAAATGCTGCCCGCGCCCTTTTCTCGGTGCTCCTGCCACACCAGCGGCCCCTGCACGACCCGTGCGGCCACGACACACACCGGTACCAGCCGCGGTCCTCCCACCCGGCGCCCACCGCACGGTGCTCGCGCGCCCCAAGCCCAAAGTCCGCTCCCACGTGACCCTGCCCTTGAGCCCCCGGCGCCTCACCTCAGCCGGAGGCGCCCCCGACTCCCCGCCACCTCGGCCAGCCTCCTCCAGCCCCGGCCCTCGGGCGCTCGGTCCAAACTCCCGCTAAGCCTCCGCAGCAGCGGCTCCGGAAGACGGCTGATGGTCACGCTGCCCGGAGCGGGGAGCGGCGGCCCCGAAGGTGTGACCAGAGGCAGCTGCGAGGCCGGGGGCGACAGGGCCTGCTGCGGCTCCCCGCACTGCGGCATCTCCCGTGCAGGCGACCCCGCGACTGCCGATGCTCCCGCCAGCCGCATCGCGGGCGTGGGCTCTAGCGCACCTTCCGCTCGTCCCCTCGCTCGCTTCGGCACCGCGGAGGCAGGGGCGGAAGGACAAATCCGGCGGCCGCGCAGCACCGCACAAGGAGGAGGAAGCTCCGCTCCCCGCCCCGCCGAGACAGGTTTGCCGGAGGGACCCGGGTGGACCGGCCGCACCAGCAGGGCCGTGGGGGCGGGGCTTGGGCGGGGGCGGGGCCGCCCACTGCCTGCGCGTGCGCGAGACTGCACCTCCCCCGCTCTCCTCGCCAAATCCGCCAGCCAGGGGCGCGCTTCAAACCCAGGGAGGTGGAGTCCTGGTTAAGCAGGAAGAATCGGTGGTTGCAGCTGGAGGAGGAGGAAGCGGTGGAGGAACTACGCCCGGGCGGCTCCACTACCGCGAGGAAGCCTGCAGCGTCGGGGCTTCCCGAAACCGTGGGAGGAGGATTGCCTCACGCCAAGGAAGGGAGCGCTCGGCTCTCGGTCGCCGGCCCCGGCCGCTCGCTCCAGGGCCGCGCTCCGCTGACTCAGTGACGTGCGTGTGCCGGGCGACGTCACCGCACCCACATTGGGCAACCTCCGGGGAGGCTTCCTTGTTTTAGGGATTGATGTGTGGGGCATAGTTAAGGGAAGTGGTGCTAGACTCCAGATACTTAATGGAAATTGCCTGAAATCTGTGCCTAGACATAAAGAAAACGAAACGAAACAAAACTGGGCTGCGGCGTATTTTAAACACCTTGGAAATGATTGTTTTCAGCAGGAATCACCTGGTTTCCTCCCCAGTCTGGGCAGGATATAAATTGGAGCAGGCAACCTTAGAGAGATTGCCCTCCTCTGGAAGGGTGCAGCGTAGATGAGATAGGCGCTCACTGCCACCTAAGCTCGCTCTCCCAATCGCAACAATCTCAACAATCGATGTTAAAGGTCGTCCCACTGAAAACTACGGGGTCGTTTTGGGACGAAGCAGTAACTTACAAAGTGTGACCAGCCAGATTGCTCCCAGACACAAGGATTCCTGGCACAATTTCTGGTGCATTAGCTTTTTCATCACAGGACAGCAGGATTTTCTGTAGCCACAATTTGTACACCCAAATTTTCACTACTTGTTGGTGAGGTAGTTGCTTCATATACAGTCTCCACCACATTTTGGCACAAGCAATCGCTGCACTTTTTCATCAGTGCAACTTCAGAGTTCGGAATGCAGTATCATGGCTAAGTGCACGACCTTTGGTTCCAGGAAGAGGTGCTTGATTCTAGTTTTAAGACCTTGAGTAAGTTTCTTAATTCTCTGCCTCATCTGTTAAAATGGGACCGAAAATGTAGCAATATAGAGTTGTTACCAGAATTAAAGGAATTGTATGTAATGCACTTAACACTGCTTGGCACAGAGTAGCTAACAAGTGGCAGCTGTTACCCTTGCAATTGGAACAGCTCATTTCATACTCGTCTGCCTTAGTCTGGGAGAAGTAATGCAGTGTATATAGTACTCTCCAAATTGCCCCGTTAATTCTGGGAACACTATAATAAACAGCAATTCAGCTTCTTTTTATATATACCAACCATTATGTTTATATAAAGGTAAGAGAAAGACAGACTGGATATCTGGCTTTTAAATGTCCCTTAGAAGTTTCTGGGTATCTATAGGTAATACACTTGGGAGTTCTTCCTCATTAGTTGAAAGTGACATAGATCTTTGTCAGTCCATTGGCAGGAGGCTTGTCTCGTTCTATGGAAATCCACTGATAAAATCTTCAAAATTTACCAATCTGGAAACTGACTCATAGATTTTTTTTTTTCCTTTACACAATTTGTCTTCTAGATAGTACCCGAACCCTAAAAATAGCAAAACAATATACTAGCTCCTATCTGGACAGGTTTTCAGTGGCCCAGTGCGGGAGGAAACCTGCAGGTCTTGGGATCTGTATACATCAGAGGGAAAGGAAACAGGGGCTTGGGACTTGAATGGCATTCCTTGTCTCCCTGCCTTATTCGATGCCCTGCACTCTTTGTGATCTCTGACTCAGCCTCTGGGTGGAGGCCACTGAGTCCACTCTCAGCCACAAGCTTCTCCATATCCCTTACAGCCCCTGCTTGCTGGCAAATCCCAAAGCTTTAGGGGAATTTTTCCATTTTTGATTTCGACTTTGGAATAGTACCTAAGTATTTCACACTCTTCCTTTACAATGAGTCATGCATAGCAGAGACTAACTTCATGTACCTGCCTACCTTCATTCATTCATTAACAAACATTTATTGGGTGCCTACCTGTGCCAGGCTCTGTACTAAATACTGTTAAATGGTGGTTGAGAGAAACATCGATGTGAGAAAGAAACATCAGTTGGCTGCCTTCTGTACACACTCCAACTGGGGACTGAACCTGAAACCCTGGCCTGTGCCCTGATTGGGAATTGAACTGGTGAACTTTTGGTTTGCAGGATGATGAGCAACCAAATGGCTGGGGCTAGGTTTTATTTACTTATTTATTTATTTAAAAAAAATTTATTTCTTTCTAGAGAGAGGGGAGGAGAGGGAGAAAGAGAGGGAGAGAAGCATCCATCAGTTACATCTTGCACAATCCCTACTGGCGACCTGGCCCACAACTCAGGCTTGTGCCCTGACCGGGAATCAAACCAGCATCCGTTCTGTTTGCAGGCCAGCACTCGATCCACTGAGCCACCTGGGCCAGGGCTAGGCTTTATTTTTAAAGAGCCATTTTAGGTTCACAGCAAAATGGAGGGGAAGGTGCAGAGATTTCCCATGTACCCTCTGCCCTCACATACGCACAGCCTCTCCCAACATCAACATCCCCTGTTAGAGTGGTATGGTACATTTGTTACAACTGATGAACCTACCCTGGCACATTGTAATGCCGTAAGTCCACATTTACAGAGTGCGCTTGTGGAGTACAGTCAATGGGTTTAGACAAATTTATAATGACAGGTGTCCATGATTACGATATCATACAGGGTATGTTGACTGTCCTAAAAATTCTCTATGCCCTATCTCTTCACCCCTCCTCCCTCTCAACCCTTTACAGCTGCTGGTCTTTCTACTTTCTCCATATTTTTGTCTTTTTCAGTGTCATACAGTTGGAATCATACAGCCTTTTCAGGTTGGCTTCTTCCCCTCCATTTTGCTGTGAATCTAAAATGGCTCTTTAAAATGCATTTAAGAGTCCTCCATGGTTTTCCATGGCTTGGTAGCTTATTTCCTTTTAGCAGTGAATACTATTCCATTGTGTGGGTGGACCACAATTTATCCACTTAACCCACTGAAGGACATCTTGGTTGCTTCCAAATTTTGGCAATTGTGAATAAAGGTACTGCAAACATCTGTGTGTGCAGGTTTTTGTGTGGGCAAAGGCTTTCAGCTCCTTTGGGTGAATATCAAGGAGTATGATTGCTGGGTTGTATCGTAAGAGTATGTTTAGTTTTGTAGGAAACTGTTAAACTGTTTCCAAAGTGACTGTCCCCTTTTGCATTCCCACCAGCGATGAATGGGAGTCCATGTTGTGCCACAGCCTGGCCAGCACTGGGTGTTGTCAGGTTCCAGATTTTGTATAGGACAGTATTTTTTGTTTGTTTGTTTTTAAGGAGAGTTAAAATCATGACTCAACAAATGTACAGTGAACACATGTCAAAGATTTTCTTTAACACATTAGTGAACAAGGGAACCAGAAAACTGTTACAACCACTTCAAAGGAGAATCTAACAACAAGATAAATATATAAGCCCTGGAGGATACTGAAATGAATTACCTTAAAGGTTGCAAAACTGGCTTCTTCACAGTGGGGGAGGGAGATTAGTTAAATCTCTTCTGAAAGAATTTACTTACTTCAAATTATTCTTTGCATTAGTGTCAGTTTTCTACACCTGTCTCTCAGAGTTGCAAAATAGCAAATCAAAGGCAATGAAAAGCATAGATTAATCCAGATCGATGAACTAGTTAAGATACCCAACTGCATTTCAGGCTTTGTCAATTTTCCTTTCAGTGCTTAGAGTACAAGTTTGACTAAATCCGCTCTCTTCTCCTGGCAAGGAATGGGAGTGGTGAGTAATCTGTTGTCAGCAAGAAGGAAGTGTGGAAATACTGAGGAAAAAGTACCCTGTGGAGCAGCAAGAAAAAAAATTCCTCACATGCACGGGGCTCCAAGGGCACTATCGACAATGTTTAGTGATGCTTACTGAGATGGAAGATGTTCATATGTGCAACATACTCTTTCCTATTCAAGAAGACATAGCTGAGCCCTAGTGTTATGATAGAATAATACAAGATATCATGATAGATATGGTATTATGATAGGGAGAGACTTGAACCAGGTCAAATTTATTGTCTACAAAGCAAATCATTCAGAAACTCTGATACTTAAATGATTAGTATGACCAAATCACTGGGGACACATTTTACAAGTGAAGGGAGGAACTACAGTTGAGGTGATATTTCTCATGGCCTTGAGATACATTGGTGGGGTTTTAAAAAGGGCACTAACTACATTAACCCATCCAGTAGTCTTTTGACTTTGTGACAATCACACATGCATTGGGCTACATGCAATTGATGAGGAAATTCATTCAACAATATTTACCAACGGCCGATCAGCAGTCTTAGAATGTCAGGGAGATACTGGCCACATCCTTGTTCCTTATTGTTGGCTATACATAAAAATCACATGAGGGTATGACAGTTCCTCAAAAAGTTAAACACAGAATGACTGTATGATCCAGCAATCTCTCTTTTTTAGCATGTGTCAGAATTTCCTTCCTTCTTAAAACTGAGTAACACTTCACTGTATGTATACAACACCTTTTATTTATCCAGTCAATTGTTAGTGGACATTTGGGCCGTTTCTACCTGTAGCTATTGTGAATAATGCTGCTATGAATATTGGTGTATGTACAAGGATCTGTTTGAATCCCAGCTTTCAGTTCTCTGGGGTAAATACCCAGTATGGCAAAACCTAGAAATCATTACGTTAAGTGAAAGAAGCCAGTCACAAAAGGGCA